AATCCCTAAAAGCCAAAGTTTAAATATTAATCAAAACAAAACCGTGACCCTAGCATGGAATCCAAACCTAATAGTAACATTCAGGCATCAAAATGTCTACCACAACACACCAGAAAAACCAGCTTTGTTTTTTCCTCATACCATAACTAGCTTTTGACACCATTTTTAAGGTTCAAACAAAAGTTTTTTCAGCTGCCACTGATCCATTATATAGTATCACTCATTGGCAGGTGTGGTATAAAAACAGAGGCTCCTGGCTCTGTCTTTACTGTGCTGATCTAGGATCAGATTCCCCACAAGTAAAACGCAACTTCAAAGTGACGGTTCACAAATTATTTGATGTTTCAAACATACGCAGATTAGTCAAAACATTATGACCCCCTGTCTACTACGCTGTTGGTATTCTGTGTGCTGCCAAAACAGGCCTCTGAAGGAGCCCTGTGGTACCTTCAAAAGAGGGGGAAAATGGGTGAAGTTACAATTCTACAAGAAAAAGTAAGCAAATTAAAACCACTGTGCATTTGGCTAATTTGGAGATTTTGCTTGGACAAAAAAAAAAGTCTTATACGACGGAGACATGAACTTCCAAGAGAGGTGGAATAAGAGCCTTTGGTCAAAAGAAAACATCATGAAATAGATTTTATCCAAAAAAAATACAAAATACAAGTTCTCAAGCCACAAATCATTTATACTTTATAAAAATTCATAATTTCTAGCTTTTCTTTTAAAATTCTACATGACGTTCAGTAATAACAACATTGCAAAACAGACAACAGGCGCCTGAGTTTTTTTTGAAGGCATTCCAAGCTTATGAAAAGACTAAGGTTCAGTTGTAGTACATGAATGATAATTCGTTCAAACAACTGCATGATCAACAATGGCTCTAAAACAGTCAAATGCAAAGTGTTTTCAATTTTAATTTTTGTATGTAAAAGACAAAATCCACATCAAGTCAACCAAGCACAACTTAGGAAAACTGATTCCCTTTGTATATACTTTGTATATGCATTGTGGCAAAAATGACTTTGCAAATCATCTTGGATGAAGGCACGAACCAAAAATGAATAAATAATACACGGTTCAAAAAAGCACTTCAGCTGAATTCATTCAAGGGAGAAATTTAAAAGGGTTTGTGAAGTGTGCTGGAACAAATAAAAAAAATCTTTCTGAAAACCAGAGCACAACTTTCACAAAGCTTTTGAAACAAGACGGTAACACAGCACAAACAATTCAGACCTGACTCACAACACTGATGAATCTAACCTTGAAATACTAGTCGTTAACACTGGCAAAACGGTACAGAAACAGAGGTGGCTGTTAAAGAAGCAAAGTGTAAAGACATTAATATGCCACAATAATAAAAAGGTCAAGCCGCTCGGGTAACGTGGAAGAAATTAATGCATAGCCACATTTAGTTTTCCTTGGCCAATCTGTCCAAAAAGATGCTAATTTTTGAACAGACTATCTGGGGATCACCTCTTGGCCTCTGTTCTTTTAGCTGAAACATTTTCATTCTACATGAAAAGCATGAAGGGTCAAAGGTTCTGATTTAGAATATTGACACTTAAATTCTCTTTGGTTCCAAATTTACCGTGACAAAAACCACATGTGTAACATCTTTCATTCAGAGTGGGAGCATTGTGAAATTCCACAACTGTCCAGTAAATGTGGGGCTCTGTGTAAATACCTTAAACCCTACCCTAAAAATGCAACTCCCAAACTAATGTGGGACAAGCTGGTCATTACGGTGTCACACAGGGCAACAACTGAAGTGGAAAACACCCATTGCTTACTGCAGTTTAAATCAGCAGTTAGCAGATGAAAACAATTCATGCTGGTCTACTGTGGGAACAGCCTGGGTGTTCTTAAGGTCTGCAAAACATTCCCTGTTGGATAGGACATAAGCATGCGTGTGTGATCTAACTCAGATCAGGTGTCCACGGGCCACACACAACAACTACAGCCAAAGGTTGAGATACTACGGTAGAGGTGCATCAGCATGTCAGTCTTCATAAACCCCAAGACAATGTGCGGTCTTCTAGCAGTACTTCTACAGTTTTAACCATGTTTCAGTACAAAGTAGGTTACCGCAGATGTGCAAAGCAAAAAAATATGTAATTAATTAGATTAAATATTACTACCACAACAATAATAAAAACACTCAGCTAAAAATAGTATATTGAAGACCCAACCAGGCCGAAATAAATGGAATGAGTCCATGGTCAACAGGAAACAACATGAAATAGATGGGTATGAAATATGGGTTCTTGAGGCACAAATCATTTGTATTTTTTCATATAATTCATAATTCATAACTTTTCATTAACAATTATACATGGAATTCAATAATGACAGAGTTGCACAAAAGACAACAGGTACCTGAGCTTTCTGTGAAGTTATTTTAAATTTGTGAATAGACTATGGTTCTGTTGTAGTGCATGAATGACAACTCATGGCAAACAATGGGTCCAATATAGTCAAAGGCCTAGTCATTTCTACTTTCTTTTGTTCATGTAAAAAACAAAGGACACAGCAAAGCACAAGTTTGAAAAACTGATGTCCTTTAAATGTTCAGTAAGAAGTAAAACAATCTGGTTGAATTCTAATTAAGAAATGTATGAATGTTCCAAGAACATAAAAGGCAACTAACCATGTTAGAGTCAGAGGAACCTGGAACATACTGTGTCGTACGACCCCCAGAACTCCAAAAAACATATAGCAAAAAGTACATTTTAGAAAACGTAAAGTTAAGAAATCAACTATAGTTTACCTAATCTCAAATCTCCAACATCAATGAAGACTTCTTTGAGAAATCGACTTTTATATTTTCAAAGAGCTGGGAGACTTTCTGAAAAAAGTAATGAGGTTCTCCGATGACCAAAAAATACACCCATAAAAGTGGAAAATTGCTGGGTCAACAGTGGCCACAGATGCACTGACAGTTTCAAATGGGTTAGAGAAGGGCCAAAACCACACTTAGCTGGAGAGATACCCCAGAGAGATGACCACACAGGGAGTGACCCTCCTCCGTCATCCCTGATGATTCAGCTCAGTGACCATGCCATGGGTCAACCACCATGGCTGCAGCTCACCTGCTGAATGGTGGTGGTAGGGAGGGGGTAGGGGCGGGGGGCAATGTCAGCGCTTGGCTACCTAAACCTAAGCCCGAACGGGGTCAAGGGAAGGGAGAGGGATGTGTATGCAAGGCCTCCAGCTGCTTCTAAGTTCTCCATTAAGACAGAAGGCTCTCAGAAAGAAGGGGTTCAGTGGAGGTTAATCCAGTTCCAGAGCTAGCAAGCTAAATGAGCAGCAATGCCACACTGAAGGGAACATGGTACATCAACTTTCAGCTTCATCCTGGCCAGGTCCTGCCAGGGTCAGTCCTGATAAATAGGACTAGACAAGCACAGAATTATGCCCCTGGAAATGATAAACATAACCTGTAGTTGAAAGAAGTTTGCGTCTAAATTCTTACTTTAGCACTGAACTTTTTGAAGCAGAGAAATACAGATAAAAGTGGCTTCCAAAAGTAAAAGTAAGGTAAGTGTGGCAAATCCTTTAAAATCAAACAATAAATTAGCAAAACGAAGGAAATGCTTGTTGAAAAAACAGCAACATCCTGGTATGGACTTTAAGTGAATAAACAGGGAATAATTTCAAGGGCTCTTTATGAGAAGCTGCTTAGCCCAAGAGGATGTGAAATGGCTCTTGTTATTTTCATAAGAAGCACAACATTTACTTTACCTATTATTGGAAGGACTGTGGGAGAATAACCTCCATCTGAAAGCAATTAGATCAGCTCAAATGCTTGGTGTGAGAAATATAGCCTTCACAGGGGAAAGCTCTACCTTTTTCAGGCACTTTTAACCTTAGTCCCCCAGGGCAAGGGCTGGAGAAGGCAGCCAACGACGTCTGGCTTAGGCAATTACTATTAACGAGCTAACCATGTTTACTGGCTTATTACAGAGCAATTAGTGCTGCATATCATTTCATTCTGCAAACTCCATTTTGGGTCACCCAGCATGGCCTGCTTGATCCTTCATTCCCTTGATTTAAGCCTGGATGTCAAACCTATCAAGGGGCTTAGTTGAGACATTAGAGTGAAAGACGCGGCATGTGTCATTTACAAGAAATTCAGGTGCAATGACCAAGCAAAACATTCTGAAATGCAGAGGCGAGAAAGGGGAGTTTTTTTTTCTACAGAAAGCTGCTTGATCACTTTCACTAGCCCTAGTTCAGGGAAGGCATGTGTTTTGAAGTTTGGGGAAACACATTTTAGTTGTGGATTGTAGCAGAGACTTACATTTCCTATCATTTTTACCCAACCTCTCCCATTTTATTTTTATTTACTTTTATTTTATTACATACAGGGAAATGGACTTATAAAAACCAATCAGGCTTTCACATAGACATAAAAGTATCATGCATCACAGCCACAAACAATGTAGGATTTACACAGTGACTGCTGTCCAAATTATCTGCAGTAGAGAGAAACCTGAATTAGGAAACAAACCTATACACCGTCCCCTAGCAATGTCCTATCTAAAAATGTTGGCACAGAAGGTCATAGGAAAATAAACAATTAAATCAATAAACTTCATGACGGCTGTCAAGCTGCAATAAAAGTAATGTGGTGGCAATGCCACATCAGTGGAAACTGTATTAAATCTAAACTTTGACCTATGGAACGTTATATTTCGGAACAGGCTTTGGCAGGATACAACGAATACATGCTGCTGTAGTTGTAATGGGTTTGCAGTAGCCCTCAGCCATGTGCTGTGCTTAGTGTATGTACATGTGGTTTGTATAAAGGCATTGACCTTTTGCTGTTTTCTCATAAAGGAGAGAAAATGAATTTCGACTGTACTGAGCAAGGTAGGGAGCTTGTAGAATAGATGATATAATCCAAAATAAGTGTGTGGTAAATTATAACAGAGTGAGCGGAATAGAACCTGTGCAAAAAAAAACAAAGAAAAATGTGCAAATTTATGGCTTCTTACCTGAGAACATCTTCTATGATTTTCACACCAGCCCAGAACATCATCACTCTGTAAAAGGAGAAAAAATTGTAAAAACTTTGATTGATAGCCTAGATTCTGTCTATATTTATCATTAAAGATCATCATATAACTGTGGTTATAACACTGAAGTCTTTTGTTATATCTATGTGAAACAGTCATCTGCTACGCTGCTCATTGACTATAAAATGTCTACAGTATATATGGACCTTAGGTCATCAGTGGCATTTGTAGGATGAAACCAGAACTGTTTCCAGCGTGGGGAAGTAAAATTGGGCAGGGATGAATCAGTCTAGATGTAAACACAGGAATTTCTACCACACACCAACACCACGACTTCTAGCGTACGTCAACACCTAACCACACAGACTTCTGGAAAAATGGCAGTTGGGAATTAAACATGACTAATGAAGCTAATGATAGTCAAAAGTGTCTGCGTTTTTACTCAAGCTGTGGCATCACGGACAATTCGGAACAGGCTTAGCCACAGACATAAAGTAAAATTGTAATTGGCTCACTAAAATAACAAAACACAAGCAGTGTCAGTCATAAACAGCAATCTAAAACAAATCACAGAGCACAAGCAGAGAGACAGCTCATATAAGCTGTGTTAATTATCTCTCTTTAAACACTCCCTCTGGGTAACCGATATTTTTCCTCTGCAAACTCGACTCATGCCACTTACGAGCTCCTACACTGCCTTTGTGAGGTCTTAATAAGCTCTTAAGGAGAAAAGAAAGCCCATTGTGTTTGAGAGGCTGTCCTGAAGTATAGAAAAGTGATCTCTAAAGGAATGCTGAGGCGTAACATCATCCCAAGAGATTACATCACCCTTTTAAATCCATCCTGATGAGCTTTCCAGATGAAAAGCCTCAACCCACACCTAAAGGTAAGCGGAGGCCAAAAACAGTAACAGGTACATATGGCAAACAGGTGAAAAATACATCACTATCAGTCTAGATCCATTAATTTAGAGAACAAAGTGTAAATTAAATTTAAATTAAATCTTTGGATTAACCCCTGCCTGGGGGGTGAAGATTTTGTTGCACCTTAGAAAGATCATTACCCTTAAGAGTATTAAGTGAATCATCAAAGGCTGTTATCTGAAGGCACATCAAAGAACTCAGGTTGCAGGTCTTAACAGATATTTTGGAACTGTCCATAAAGAATCAAATGTTATTGTATAAAATGCCCATTTTGGTATATGATATGAATTTATGAACCATTCTTCATTATGTAGCCCTTGTAATTTAGTAGTAAAGAAAACATCCAAATCTATGCTGAAATGTTTGCAGTTGTTTCTCATTTGAATTTAATAATAATGGATAAATGGGTACAGTAGACAGCAGTCCACTGCACATAAATCACAACACGCTGAATACACACATTACATGGTGCATGGTACAATGTACCATTATATGGTAAATAATAATACCCTTTCCATGACAAATGTAGCAAGAAGCAAGCAAATACAGTGGGGCAAAAAAGTATTTAGTCAGCCACTGATTGTGCAAGTTCTCCTACTTAGAAAGATGACAGAGGTCTGTAATTTTCATCATAGGTACACTTCAACTATGAGAGACAAAATGAGAAAAAAAATCCAGGAAATCACTTTGTAGGATTTTTAAAGAATTTATTTGTAAATTATGGTGGAAAATAAGTATTTGGTCAATAACAAAAGTTCAACTCAATACTTTGTAACATAACCTTTGTTGGCAATGACAGAGGTCAAATGTTTCCTGTAAGTCTTCACCAGGTTTGCACACACTGTAGCTGGCATTTTGGCCCATTACTCCATGCAGATCTCCTCTAGAGCAGTGATGTTTTGGGGCTGTCGCTGGGCAACACAGACTTTCAACTCCCTCCACAAATTTTCTATGGGGTTGAGGTCTGGAGACTGGCTAGGCCACTCCAGGACCTTGAAATGCTTTTTACGGAGCCACTCCTTCGTTGCCCAAGCGGTGTGTTTGGGATCATTGTCATGCTGGAAGACCCAGTCACGTTCCATCTTCAATGCTCTCAGTTGAGTTGAGTTTTTACCAAAAAGTTCTATTTTGGTTTCATCTGACCACATGATTTTCTCCCAATCCTCTTCTGGATCATCCATATGCTCTCTGGCAAACTTCAGACGGGCCTGGACATGTACTGGCTTAAGCAGGGGGACACGCCTGGCACTGCAGGATTTGAGTCCCTCTCGACGTAGTGTGTTACTGATGGTAGCCTTTGTTACTTTGGTCCCAGCTCTCTGCAGGTCATTCATCAGGTCCCTCCGTGTAGTTCTGGGATTTTTGCTCACCATTCTCATCATTTTGACCCCACGGGATGAGATCTTGCGTGGGGCCCCAGATCGAGGGAGATTATCAATGGTCTTGTATGTCTTCCATTTTCTTACAATTGCTCCCACAGTTGATTTATTCACACCAACCTGCTTGCCTATTGTAGATTCACTCTTCCCAGCCTGGTGCAGGTCTACAATTTTCTTCCTGGTGTCCTTCGACAGCTCTTTGGTCTTGGCCATGGTTGAGTTTGGAGTCTGACTGTTTGAGGTTGTGGACAGGTGTCTTTTATACAGATAACGAGGTCAAACATGTGCCATTAATACAGGTAACGAGTGGAGGACAGAAGAGCTTCTTAAAGAAGAAGTTACAGGTCTGTGAGAGCCAGAAATCTGGCTTGTTTGTGGGTGACCAAATACTTATTTTCCACCATAATTTACAAATACATTCTTTAAAAATCCTACAAAGTGATTTCCTGGATTTTTTTTTTCTCATTTTGTCTCTCATAGTTGAAGTGTGCCTATGATGAAAATTACAGACCTCTCTCATCTGTCTAAGTAGGAGAACTTGCACAATCAGTGGCCGACTAAATACTTTTTTGCCCCACTGTATCTTAAAGCCCTCACATGCAAGCTTTCGTGCTCTTTCTTTTACCCAATTTTTTGGCTTATTTCATACAATTTGCAAAGTAGCATTATTCATGGGAATTTATTTTTGGGCATTCGGTTTGTATACATGACAAACCTTCAGAGAGAGCAGTCATCAGAGAGATACCATCTAAACGAGAAGGGGGGGGGCAGAGAGAGAAAGACAGAGAAATATACAGCCAGAAAGAATAAGAAGAAAGATAGTGAGAGAGAGCAAAGGAGACCTGGACACAGAAAAATAGAGAAATATAGAAGAGAAAATGTGAGAAGAGAACATGAGAAAGAGTCAGAAAGAAAACCGAGAGAATAAGAGATATAGTGAAAGAGAGAGACAAAGAGAGACAGAGAAAGAACAACAGAGAAAGAAAAAGAGGGAGACGGAGAGAGAAAGAGAAAAGGAGAGAAACAAAAATAGAGGGACATAAACAGTAAGAAGAGAGATAGAGAGAAGTGTGAGAGTGAAGGAGACCTAGTGAGGGAAAAAGAGACAGAAAGAGAGAGAAAAACAGAGAGCAAGAAAGAGAGACAGAGAAAGGAAAAGAGAGAAGACAGAGAAAGACAGACAGACACATACAGAGAGACAGCAAGAGAGAGGGAGACAGACTGATAAACAGACAGAGAGAGAAAAGGCCATCCACAGCCCTGTCTGTGATCCTGCGGCTCTGTCAGATAGGCAGTGTAAAGCTGTGTCACTCAGCCTGTCGGCCGCTCCTTTGTTCTTGGCCCCTCTACCACATGTGCAGCTGTTTCACTTCTGCAGCTCCGAGCACAAAAGAGAAAAACACTTACCACAAAGACATGCCCACCAACATTTCTAAACACACTTTACGACATCTGACAGCAAAAATGTTGCGTGAAATTGTTGCGGGGTTAAGCCCGCAAGGATAGAGGGATGGAGCCCTCTCTCTACAGCCAGACTTGGTGGTTTTGGAGTGTGTACGCTTTAATGTTTATCTTCAACTTTCTAATTCTGTCATTATCCTGATCATCAAATGACATGGTTTGATTGTAATGGTTTCTGTCTGGGCTTTTCTCATAGCAAATACCAAACAGAGCTCACTCTTGATCTTTGACTGGTAGATGGAGAATCATGTTAAAAAGGAACCACATTCAAGTGGCCCTATTTGACTGGCGTAACAGGAAGAATTATGAGTGATGGTGGCAGCTGAATGTTTGTGCCCTTTTATGTGGATAGGAAGAGTTCATTTGGAAGTGAGAGTGGAAAATGAAAGAGACCCAGCTATGAAGCTCTGCTTCATGCATGGAGTGCCAGCTGCCAGATATAATGGCCCTATTACCTCTCAACTGAAAACGGCATGCAGTTCAAAGCCATGCAGTCACAACATTTTTGCATGCCTTCAAACAACTTGTAGATAGAGATAAGACAATTTAAACTTACTGTGATAAGGCTACAGACCAACAAACAGAACATAGGCACCATTACGACAATGCTACAAGGCATAGTTTTCAAAAGGTCTGCTATAATGAGCTCTATATATTCAGTCCCTTTTCTCCACAAATATGTGTAGAATTCACTAATAAGGTTTTAATCACAGTAAGTTTTAATAGGACTAAAAAATAATCTACTGTAGTAATCAGAGTTTTTAAAAAGGACAAATAATAGACTTAACTGAATCATTACAAACCATAGTTTGTTGGAAAATGATAAACAAGAAAGTCTTTAAAAAGAAATGAATAAGAACACATGTGGAAAATTTAAATATGCATCATCAATACGTCATTACGCTAGATGCCAAATAATTAGTGCTGATTCAAGTTATTGTGAGGGTCCAATTTTAAGGTTATTATGCAAAATTTCATTTCTCCTATTATATACAACGTCCTCCCTTGAGGTCTTTCAGTCCATGACTATTCTTGGCTTCTCCTCATGCCGTAAACGAAAACCAAGGCTTATTTACATCAACATGCACCACAGCTCGGCTTCAAGTCACACTCTGAGTCCCATAATTACACAATTTTGTCTCTGGCTGAAATCAGGACCACATTTCATGCCTCCCTGCATCAGCTGGGTTATGATGCAGCAAGTGCAGACCTAGGTCTGACGACATTTCCCCGAAAGAGAATTATAAGCTCTTTTTTTAATCATTTTCCTTGGCGGTTACAATGTTGTTATTAGTACACAGCGAGGGGTAAAGAGAAACAGGGTCTCATAGTGCTCTTTGTGGTCCCCCTCATCCTGTAAACATGAATTTCAACACAGTGGTTTCAGTAGAATATTTATTACCTAGTGTGACTAAGCTCACGTGTTTTAACAGAACTGAATAACTGTCGTAAAAGCTGCCGCAGGTTTCAACTGTTTAAATATTGTACAGAAAACAATGTTATTAGGAATTTCAGTCAGAGTATTAACATACTAAGACATCCGTAATGGCTTCTATATAGGAATCTGAGAGATTTAGTTTTAATGCATCAACTCTTAAAATTCAAAAATACAAAAATTAGGCATAATGAAGATTTGGTTAAGGTGAGATTTGCTTTGACAGAAATCCTGCTACATTTTGACATGATGATAATCCACAATAAATAAGTGATGAAATTTCAGTGTCCTGAAATTTAAAACTGTATCGCTGATATGCCTCTCACTCTCTTCCGGGGATCTCTCATTTACCTTCTTTCGAAGCCACTGTCAGTGATCAAAACTAGGTATCTGGGAACATCCCATAACAGTGAAGCGGGTGAGCAGGGGCAGGGCTTAAGTTGTGCATATACCCATGCTCAAATGACTGCACTGTAGGCAGATGGCCACACCCAAAAACTAATGGTAGCGCAAAAAAAAAAGTGTAGCTAAAGGTGACCTTCCCAATTCAGCTTGATGTAACAAAAATCTAACATAAACAGTGCACGGCTACTGTAGATTTAGAAAATATATAAATAAAAATAGAAAAAAACTCCACTCTAAAACAAGCACGCATGAGTCTTTGAGTCCAGATCCTTGTAATAATATTATTATTGTTTTTAATAGTTGCAGTCCTGAAATTAGGGGGGGCTGCAGCACTCTCAGCACCCCCACTTCCTGCATACAAGATCTCTTCATTAGATCAAAGGAAAAGTATGAAACTAGCCTGTGATGATTAATGTTACCAAACACCTCTCCTTCTCTCACACTCTGTCAAATTTGCTCCTGAGGGAGAAACATTATCTGATTAAATTTACCACAGAAACATCTTACACATTTGCTCTGCGTCAGTCTATTCCTAATAGGCTTGATAGATGTGTGATATCTTATAGTTTGACCTCAGGAAAAGTATTTTCTCCAACACTGGATACGCTGCACTTATTTGCATGACAAATTGTGATACCCTGAGCCCTCATAAATTAACGTACACCTGCAAGCAAAGCAACTGCCTGCCAGTTTCAATAGATGGGAGAGAGAAAGGGATATAAATTATAATGCTTCAGGTTTTCAGACAGTTCTTTGTTCACATCAGGCTGGTTCCTAGTTTTATTTATGTCACTGAGATTAAATATGTTCTCACTGAATTGGTGGATCAAGGGAGAACAAGTGAGAACATATTCTAAAATCTTGTGAACAGCAGCTGTACTGCAATGGGCGAATGGAACAACACTTACTAGCTGGCATATTCTGTAATCGAGAGCTTTACAGTTAAACTGTAGCACAAAAGTCTTAGGCACCCAAGCAAATTGTTTAAAACCATTTATCTGGACTTTTGCTTGTAAAAATACCATGCAATATTAGAACAAATGCAAACAAATATTGATGCAGTAAAAATTAGCAAGGTTTTATTGTTTCGATTCAAAAGTTTGGTGACAGATTTCATCACATCATCTCCAGCCATTAAATGGATTTGTTCAATTCCATCAGAAGCAGATCTGATTTAACTCAATGAAGGATTAGCCAAACTAGCTACTGGATAATAACTGCAATAATTACTGCTAAAGTTTTACACAATACTTTACAAGCCATCTGGCTTGCAATGTGTTAGCTTACCTTTATTAATGTGATAATTTAGCCAAAAAGTCTAATTTACACAAATTTCTCCTTACTCCAAATAAAATCAACTATCCGGAGCATGCTGGGTGTCTAAAGTTTGCTTCGAGGCTAATGTAGCTATCAAGCAATGGAAGACTAGTACCACGCCAACTACATACCTAAATCATCACACTTTTACCTCACTCCATGATGAGTCTTAAATACAGATTTTAAAAAATAGAGATCATATTTATAAATATGTCATTTAAAAATGGACAAAAGTATGGATAAGGCTTGGTGGCTGCTACTACTATTTTCAGTTATATAACACACTTTTGCATATTTTTATAGATACCAGTAAGTCATTCAGTGTCATAAATAAAAAAAAAGTCTATTTGAGATTACTTCAACCTGAAATCAAAATTTTTCCAAAGGGTTTAACTTGTTTGTTCATGTCCCTTGTCATATTAAACACCATTCATCATTTCATGTCATTTAAAAGACAGAATTCCTGTTAAATTCCTGAATAAAAATTGAATGACTTTTGCTAACCTTTAAAATGTCTTCTGGAAAATAATAATATAAATACTTCATGGTACGGAAGGAAAATGGATTATAATTCCTGTTTCACATTGACTTTAATAACTTGACATTGTTTCAGACAAGTATGTGATTATTTAATCATGCAGTTTGCACCATACTAATTGGTGGTGTACAGGCTTCCATTACTTGATAGCTACAATAGCCTTCATTTAGCTTGCTAGCTACATTAGCCTGCTGTTTAAGGTCAGATAAACTAGGTAAATTTAAGCATGCAACTTCAAAAATCCCTTTGGAAAAGCTTTTATGTGCTTTGCATTACACACCAGCTTTCAAAGTGTTTAATCCAAACTATAAATCAAACCGCAATTTGAATGAAGTCAGTGATGTAACTGTGACATTATGGGCCCAGTGCAAAAAACATGAAAAATAATTAAAATGTATGTAATTTGTTTTTTTACCCATTATTACGTCTCAAATAAGTAGATGCTCTCAAGGCAGGCCAATCGACCCACTAGCATCTACCGTTAATATATTTAGCTGTCTGACATGCCACTGGCCAAATAAAAAGGTTATACAGGGGCTCAATAAAGATTTTAGGGGGGCCATAGCAACATGGGTCCCAGTGCAATTACCCCCTGCCCTCCCAGTACTTATGCCACTGAATGAGGTGGTCTTAGTGATTTGCCTTCCTAATCAGGTTTATTGAGTGCTGTGAAAACAGAACTAGAACTCCGAAACATCCCATAATTGAGAAAAAAAAATGTAGTATCAGTTTAAAATACACGCCTGGTGTTTCACCTCAGTGCTACTTTTTGTCTCTCATCCATTCTGTATCTCTTGTTCACTCCTCCCTCATCAGTTTAGTCTGTGCCTTCACCCACATTTGTAAATCACAAGCCGGAACAAGTGGGAAGCGGAGGAGAAAATTAGATCAAGGAGAAATGTGCAGGCTCTGCTCTGGGTGCTGCAGTGGCTCAACCTCTGAACTGCTTCCCACCACCCACCAAGGAGAGAGGCACACACACACACACAAACACAGGCAGGCACACACACTTTCGACCCCAAGCTTTTGAGGAAGCATGAGGTGAGAACTGGAAACACTGACAGTCACACGGCAGTTCTGGAGCTGCGAGAAAGTGTGGGCAATAGTCGTCATTGCTCACACATTTTTCACAATGTGGATCTGATTAGAGTGAGAGGTCTGTTTCAAGCTAACCAGCGTAAAGAAGCCAGAAGATCAATTAATTCTCTAGAATTACTGCAAATAAAAAAAATGACAACTACTGAGATGCATTAAAGTTTGAACTGAGACAGAGGAAAAAAAAGGATACATTCTGTTATCAATTATTCGCAGAAATCTTGCAGTAGTCATCTCATGTTTGTTCTGCTTTTACTGCTGTGGGGGAAAACTGTCTCACACCCCAAATTCAGCACCACCAGTAAAAGAGCAGAAAACGACCAATGGTAAATCCAGCCACACTTCACTAAAATTGCACATCATTTCCAGTCAGTTTAGGGGCCGCCCTTATTAATGTGCAGGCGACCCAGGTGGGCAAGGGTCTACAGAGGAAAATACCCACAAGACCACACCACTTCTCCAAGCCCAGTTCCTTCAGCCAGAATTTAAGTGCCTCACCAAACTTAATGACTTTCCCACCCACCAAACTGAACACATGAACTGGACCTGAAAGTGTACTGTTTTTTTTTTTTTGACTAGGCGTGTGTAGCTATGGCTCAGTGTGTGTTGCAAAAAAGTTACTGTCTTTTCTTTTTGCAGTCAACTGAACCCACACTGTCATAAAATAAATAAGGAAACAAATACAAGAATGAGCTAGAACCAGAAGTTTGTTTTTCACTCAGAACCAGGTATAATACGAATGAGATTTTAGCAGAAACGTACACCATAAAAATAAGCTTTTACCAAGTAATTTGTAAAGAACATTGAAATGTACCGCGTACTGGCGTTTCAGATATTTCAAACTGTCTCACCTGCAGATGCTGAAACGTGGCTGTGAGCTGTGTTATGTGAAGAGTAAGGCAGCGAGAGGTGCACCTCGCACTGTTAATCTTCTCCCCAGTGTCTCCGTCCTCAGCACCAGACCTCCGGGAAACGGCCAACTCAGAAAGACACAACAGCAACACGGACACGAGCCGGGAGCCGAACATGTTCCTGTTCTCGACACGAGGGGTCGATTTTCCTAAGTGACATATACGTTTAACGTCGTTTAACGGTAGATTTTGGAAGCGTAAATCCCACCTTAAGTGTGAAATTCTCCCAAGTGTGGTGGGTGCTCTGACGAGGAGCTGAAGAGGAAAGGACGTTTCCACACAGACACTCCCCCCATGTTTGCACGTGGGCCGCTTCAGCAGCGCCAGAAACTGTAACCAAAACATTTAGATTTGAATTCCTCTGCTGTGTGAGGAGAACCAACTGAAGTCTACTGAACTGAAAAGTGCCATGATTGTAATCTAGTACTCTAGGGGCAAGTTACATTTACCATTTTACAACATTTAAACACAGATTTGATTGATTTATGCTACGAGCATGGTCAAACTATATTACATTTGTTCATGCTCTTGAACATTTGCTCGGTTTCATTATACTCATTCACGGTGAGTTACTAATTCCTGCCAGTTTCTATACTGGTAGATCCTGGATGTAGTAAATTACTCTGCAGTTCTATAGAGAATTCAGAGCTTGGGTAGTTTTAACTTTATCTACTCAGCTTTGGTTTCTACAATGTAGTTATTAAAATAAACAAAACACTTGCTAGCTGCAAAAACTACATTTGTACCTTAATTACAATTATGAACAAATTGCTAGGTGTGAATTTATATGCAAATTGTTAGTAGTCAACAAAGGAAGTAAAATAATAAAATCCCAGGCAGTTATCGTGTGTTCTTCAAACGTGGCACTTTTGGTCCCATTGTATCTTTTGAGCAATGGGCCACATTTAAAACAAACCTAATCTGTGCCCAGAAAACTTACTTATTTCCTGTTAAATGCTCTTTTTTTAAATGGGTGTCTGGCCATGAGAATGGGCTTTTGGAGTATAAAACAAAATCTTGGCTACAGTTAAATTATACTGCACACTTAAACTGCAGTAAAAGGTACTATGATCATTCCCCCACAGTTGCTAGTAATTTTGCAGGTGAAGCAGAAACAGATAGGGCGCATAAAAGTATGCAGGAAAGTGGAGAGCACACTTACGTGTCTTTCTCAAGGGCAAGATTATGGCATTAAACCTGACTTGGTACACAGTGTTCAACTACAAGTCATTGATGCAAAATATGTGCAATCATGTTCTAAAGCATATACATGTGGAGTTATTCAGGTACTGAGACAAAAATCCAATGATATTGACCTCTGCTTCTGCTCCATGTCTCTTGGAAATGAGCTTGTAAGAGAAGTTTTCTTTGGAAGCATGAGCTATATTTTCTCCAAAGCCATCTGAACAAATTACATGAACAGTATTAACATCTAGATATGGAATAACTACCATTAATCCTGAAACAATGAAGAAATCATTGATAGAGTATTTTCGTCTGCATCTTTTACAGCTTCTTGTGGTGTGTGTGTCTGTGTTTTGTGTTTTGTTCTCACTGTCAGTCTTTCTCTGTCCCTTATTGAGCACAGAGATGTTTAAACTAAAGTGATGAAACTGAAACAGACTTTGGGGATTTGAAAAAAAGCTCAGTGGGACATATATTTCTAGCAAATGATCATGACCACAGAAAAATGAGAACAGAAAATATTTAATATTGTTCAGGCAACATCATGCTCAAGTTACATTATAAGAGAGAGAGAGAGAGATGTTACTCCAGCCCAGGGTCAGGATAAAGAACCACTGCATTAGGTCTCGAGGGATGTTCAGTTTCATTCAGGAGAGATCTGCCGCCCTCAAGTGTCAAAATAACACACAACACAGTCATTTCTTTAAATCAGCCCAGAGGTTAGTGATTCATTACATTTTTAACGGTTTTCAGAATCTCAGTACACTAATGTTTTCCTAACGGCTGCTTTTGAGGTCTAAGAGACAGGTGAGATCTTTCACCTCAACAGCATGTGTGGGGTGTTATTTGACTGATGGCCAGCATACAAGAACTTGGCATCTTTTCAAGAACGGATGTTTTGTTAATCTTTATCAAAGTCCATGTCACGGTTTTTAGTAGAGGACAGCATTTGGAAATAAATGGTAGCATAACTTGACCATATTGAATTTAAAAAAGATAAAACGAGGGACAATGCATAGCCTAACGTGGACATTTATAATAGTCCACTGTTTGGGTGCCATGGCCACAAATTTGTCCCCTCTACCCTGTAATGACAAAGGTGTGGAGAAACTGGCACGACTTGCCATAACTTACATCAATGAGGACCGACAAACAGGATACAAATTTGCCCTCAACCGGATTTTCAACGTCCACGTTTATCCTCAGGTAGGTCCTCTCGCACAAGATTCAGACAAATGTACACAGAAATGAACAAAAACAGCACAGCATTCGTTCTTAGCTGATAACGTTGCTGTTCGCTATGATTTCGTTTGTTAGTAAGCCGTCAGTTGTACATTGAGTCTCCACAATCGACGAGAAAAAAGTGAAGAACCGTTCTCTGTAGAGTGCCTTTGGGGGTACAAAAACTGTGGAACCCTTTTTTATGTTCTAGGGTCCAGCTGGGAAGGTCTACTATCTGGACCTGGACGTTCTTGAGACCAAGTGTCATATCCTAAGCCCCAAATCCTGGAAGCGTTGTGACATAAGGCCTTTCATGGAAACAGTAAGTCTTACTTTGTCACTTTAAATAACTGTGAACTGATTCTGCATTAAAAGCTCAGCTGTCTCGAAAGTAGCGAAGGTAGTCTTGTGCAGGGTGACTGGATGTGTTGCTCATACATGGCCAGTAGTGTTTGCTGATGCTAAGCAGAGTGGTTGCTTCTGCCAGTTGGCTTTGTTTAATCCGTTGTCAAATCATGAAACTTAAAAAACACTGTCAGCAATTGTTTCAGCGCTGTCACACGCCATAAACCGATTTATTTAAGAAACGATTGGCTGGAAAATTGGAAAGAAAAAAGACAGACTTAGATTGCTTGTGTTTGGTGCATGATAGAATTTACCTCTGGTTTGCTTGTCTTGTAGCAAATCTCTGGAAATTGCAACACCACTATTTTACATACACCAGATGGATTCTCTTACCTGTACAGCTATGACTGCACTCTCGTTCCAGGTAGATTTTTTTCTCCGTTTTCAAAAAAGTCTTAGTCCACACGAAAACACTAAAAATGGAGGTCTCAAAAAGTTGCACCCTAGAGAGCGTTTTCGAAGACCCCTGTTTTTAGTGTTCGTGAGGCCAAAATACGTTTTAAAAAAATCCTAAAAAATAGTGTTATATTCCATTAAGTTGGTAAGTTATATATTGAACTAACTAACTGATCTCTGTCTCTCTCGCTCTCTCTCTCTCTCTCATATATATATATATATATATATATATATATATATATATATATATATATATATATATATATACACACACACACACACACACATATATGTGTGTGTGTGTGTGTATGTGTGTGTGTGTGTATGTATATCAGACCCACCAGAAAAGTTACAGAGGACATGTCCAGACTGCCCCCTGCTGTTAGCCGTAGGCAGTGACAAGGCAGTGTCCACCGCTAAGACGACTCTTCAGAGATACAATTACCAGAGCACCTTACCAGTCAAACTGACCTTAGGAGCCATTACCAGGGCCTCCCACCAGGTGCTGCACCAATCCTACACTTTCTGCTAATGTGATGTGGGTATTGTACTATAAAACTCAGTATCCAATTACTCAAAATATTAACTTTTTCACATTTGCGTTTCCCAGAGTTGATATCCAGTTTTTTGTTTTTATGAGACTTGACAGCCGAGTTCATGCATGGTTAACCCAAAAAAAAAAAAATCTGAAATATTATATAGGAGAAGTCAAATGAGTCAAAGGATTTAGTTACCGCAAACTGTGCATGAATTCAAATCTGGTTTCAAATTAATTTCAGGAAGTATTATTTTTGGGATCACCATTATCACCTTAAGTGTGTGTTCAGTGTTAATTACCTGTGCATGAAACTAAATGTAATAGTTCATTTAAATACTTTTTAGTATGCTCCAGTTACATTCCTGTGCCATTTAGGATATAGGGTTTCTGCCAAGTGTCTCTGTAGCAATTAGATCCTGTCTGTGTACCTCCCCATCTATAAAAAAGAACATGCACAATCTCTACTTGCTTTTTTGTGAACCTGCAGATGTTTTTCACTTTCACATAGATTATACAGGCCTCAAGGCAACATTTACAAACCATAGCTGTGATCCTTTTGTGAAGCCATTTGAATTTAGATGAAGGGTATTAGGTAATAGAATGAATGACAGTTGATCAATTAAAACAGGGTTTCTTAACCCTGGTCCTGGTAGCCCACTGCCTCCAACACATTTGATCCAACTAAGCAGCTCATTAACAACCCCTTACTGGGTCGAAGTAGGTGTGTTAAAGCAAGAGAAATACTAAAATGTGCAGAGCAGTGGGACTCCAGGACCATGGTTGATAAACACTAAATTAGAATATAAGCAGTTTAAATAATATTGACACAAAACTCTGCTTAAATACAGTATTATTATAAAGTATTATATTATTATTAAATTAGTATTTTAAACGCTTCAAAAGCCCTGGTGGACCATGATCCAGTTAGAAACCATTGTTTAAACTGTGTGGCAGGTGAATAGCCATGCAGTAAAAAGTCTTTGCTGGTGGCATTGTTAAATATTGTGAAATTTGGACTAGAATTTAAGCAACCTGGTCCTTTTCTTTGCCAGATTTCTCCAGTTGCAGCCAGTTTTGTTGAGTATACAGTCCAAGAGTGCACTGTGGCACCAGTGGAGGAGGTTTTGTGTGTGCCAGCAGATGCAGGGAAAGGGGTGAGTCTCTGCCAAAAGCCAGTATTTCTGCATAGCTGGCTATTGCTCTCCAGTATGTATAATCTTGCTGTATTTGAATAGGATGCTTTATGGCCATTATGAGTGTGAATAACTATGAGTGGATGGAAAGCCCTTTTCTATTCCTCTTCTTTCAGTCCATAGAAATGTTTATTCCACTGATTTTTCTAAAAGTGATGATAACTTCAGTTACCTCACTGCCCAGTTTGTCTCTGTCTGCTCTTGAGGTGCTGATTGTTTTCATTTCAGGCCGTTGGATTCTGCATTGGGGCGGTTTTTGGTGCAGACCCTGCACAGGCAGGCGTTAAGGTGTCTTGTGAAATATTCCAACCGCAGGTACAATAAACATCCTTGTTTGTTTGTCAACCTGGATCCCCAGTTCATGCTCTATAAATTAAATTTTCTTGGAAGCAAAAAACCCTCTGGCTCTAAAGTGATAGCGAATAAGATCCAGATGGCGTGGATGACAGCAAAACAACACCCCAAAAGGGGGTCTCCCATGAGTCAGCAGCATGGGAAAGAGAATCAAGAGTGGCAAGTGGGCCAAAACTAACAGAGCAGCCCTCCTAGACCTCTCCCTGTCCACACTCACCTACACCTCATCTGTCTTTCCTTCTTTCCTCCCTTTCCAATTTCCTCTCCCTTTTTTCATTTTGTAGGTTAGTATGTTCAGTTCACTCTATTCCTTTAGTGAAAGTCATGTGTCAAATGTTTGATTGTTCTGTATAAATACTAATACTAATTGATATTTTGATATAAGTAATATTATATTGTTGTTAATCACAAGGGTTAGTTCTCATTTCTTGAGAATATAAAGCCTGAATTTGTAGCACCTGTTTAGAAAGCTTTACAGAAAATCCCATTCTAACTAATTCAAGCTTTTAGTTAGTAATGCTTCATCCTTTGAGATGCAGGCATCAAGGCTCTTCTCCATCCTGGCTCTCAGGTAGTGGAATGAACTTCCACTGGCTGTGCGAATAGTCCAGTTCAGGAGTGTAGGGAACTCACCTGGAATCACGACATAGCATAGCAAGCCTAAACTCCACCCTAAATTCATTAGGTTAAAGGTTAAGTTCATTAGGTTAGGTTCAATGTACCAGATCACATTTGTGGGTGGAGCATGGATAATTTAACAGTACCTTCTGTTCTGTTCCTCTGTAGCGCATTGGGATTTCAGCTGTTGTTCCACAGCAAGAGGAAAAGTCTATCACTCGACAGGATGCTCCAGCCCCTCCAGTTTATGTTCCTGATGCCCACGTCCCTACATTTCAAGACACCAGTCAAGGTGGATCTGTGCTAGTAGACCCTGTTCAACAGCTTATTCCTCACGGTCCTAGACCACACCCATCCCATCTCCCTGTGTCCAGTGAATCCAGCGAGTCAGCTGAGACAGGATGTTCTTCATCAGAAGAACTTCCAGGCTCTATTCGCATCGCCAGGCCTCCCGTAGACTTCCGCTATGCAGCTTTGCGCCAGAAGAGACAGGCACCTACAGTCATCAAACCCCTACACAGCCCCACTTTCCTAGCTGTTTTTCCCAGCACACCCTCACCTTTCCGTTCCTGTCCCGGTGCCTCACGCTATACTACTGTGTAGAAATTTCTAGAGATTTGCCCAGGCCTCATACAAGAATTTACATGTTGTTAAAGTTGTGGCAAGTGGTGGATTAGCGAATGGATCATTTCTTATGACTTTATGCAAAATACATTGAACAAAATCACCATCACTTCTTATAATACGTACATCTTAATAAAAAAAAATGAAGTTAATGTTATGTTAAAACCAGTAAGGAGACTGAGCTATGCCATAGCAAAATTGGTATTTCTAAGTGTAAGTAAGTAAGATCTAAGAAGAAGCTGCACTCTATTATACATTCCATTTATGCAAAGAATTTTTAATTTTTAAGTGCAAAATCTTAAAAGCTTTATATTCCATTGTTTATTTTTGACATGCTCTTTTTTCCTCCAAAAATATAATAATTCAAATAAAGATTCTTGAAGCAAGACTTTCACAGCTTTCTGTTATATATGTAGTATGTAGGCACTTAAAGATCATAAAGCACAGTGCCAAATTAAGCATAATTTTATTGGTGCCTCATTCAAATACATTGAGTAAACACATTTTACTGTTACGACTAAAACTAGAGTTATTAAGGGTGATGTTACTTATAACTACACATACAAAATACCTTTACAAATACATTTGGCTTTAGTTGCATTACAGTTTTTTTCTTGCTAAAATGCATTTTATGAATTTAGGGTTCACTTAATCTTTTTTGTCACTTTCTTAGCAAAGCAGAAGTGTCCTTTTGCAAATGTGTTAACACATTCTCATTGTTTTCAGTCATTTTTCACATACTTTTACAGAGCAGTTAATACAGCTTACAGAAAAACACAAAAGTTCATTGGATATCTGTGCAAAACAATAGGAAAATGACAACTTACAGAAAATACTTTTTATAGTTATAAATACCTTCAGCACCCGTGTGCTGGTAAGACTGACATTATACAAAACTGATGGATTCTACTAGAGACATTATATATAAAATTGTGTGTACTGCACACCCTCAATTGTTCCATATTCATTGAAAAAAAGTCAAAATAGTGGAAAGTGGAATATTTGCATATTGGAAATGTTAATGAAATACACATTATTTTTACTGCTTTCTAATACATGTACTATTATGCAGGATAGCACAACAGTTTGCCATGTCCACTTCCATAGTCCAGTGGAACGGTCAGAAAACAGAAGGTCATTTACACTGAATATTGCATAATACTTTGACTCCTGTTTCCACATCCATTTGGATTTTGCCAGTTGCTATTGTATACTACAGCTAGTCTTAATTTAAATCAACCTCAGATGTGCAGGCATGTACTGTTTTCTTAGTAACAAAAGCAAAACGTGTGATATATTTACTGATATTTCCTCTCTAAATCAGTTTTGGTTGTCTTTCATTAAGAATATGAAGCCATGTGTTTTTGCAATTTAGCCTATATTTATTTTCTGGTGCATTTACCATGATTCTCAATATCAACCAAGTTATAAAAGCTCCAGTGGGGTCTCAGGTATTCAGCAATACCCAACAAACATGCACTGAACATCACTCATTATTATGAAAAGGGTATGTTTTTATCTGAATAGTTGAGTTTCTTTTTGTCTGTGCTGGAAATGGATAATAAATAAAAATGATTCATTGGTGACTCTTTCACTGAGCCTGTACAGTGCTGCCTCTAGGGCTCTTGAAAGTACATACTGAATGCTCCATTTGTTGACTGTACTTCTGATTGATGAATAATATTTATCATATTTCTGTTTTAGCACTGAATTTTGGAATCCTCTTTGACTCAAAACAGTACAGGTTGCACCGTAAGATCCACATTTCAGAATCTGCCCAGGAAAAATATTTCTGACATGTCTTCACCTGTCCTGGGAAGGCTATCCATGGTTATAACTCACTGTGGTGATTGAAATTTGCACTGGCATTGTATTGATCTCTCACAACAAAGCCTACATTTTGCACAAACTCAATCCCAAAAAAGTTGGGACAGGTAAAATGCAAATAAAAACAAAAAGCAGTGATTCATAAATCTACTTTGACCTGTATTTGAACAAAAACAGTAGCTGTTGTTTCACCTTATTATCTTAATTGTTTTTTTTATACTTGCAACACCTTCCAAAAAGTTGGGACATTGTGTTAAAATCATCATAAAAGGAGCATCCAGAAAAGGTCCTTTATGACCTTTATGAGCAAGGATGGGTCGAGGCTCGCCGCTTTGCCAAAAATGCATCAGCAAAACTACAACAGTACGAAAATAACGTTCTTCAGTGAATGATCATAATATCATCAAAAGATTAAGGGAACCCAGAGAAATCTGCGTGTAAAGGGCAAGGCCAAAAAACACAACTGAATGCTCATGACCTTCAACCCCTCAGAAGATATTGCATTAAAAACCTACATGCTTCTACAACCCCATTTCCAAAAAAGTTGGGACGCTGTGCAGAATGTAGATAAAAATAGAATGCAACGATATGCAAATGATGTAAACCACATTTTTAAAGGAAAATACTACAAAGACAACATATCAAATATCGAAACTGAGAAATTTTATAGTTTTTTTTTAAAAGTATATGCCCATTTTGAATTTGATGCCAGCAACATGTTCCAAAAACGTTGGGACAGGGGCATGTTTACCACTGTGTTTCATCACCTCTTCTTTTAACAACACTCTGTAAGCGTTTGGGAACTGAGGAGACCAAAGGCAGCGGTGTTTCTGGGTCCTGTTTATTTCACTACAGAATCATGTCTGTTTTTAATACAGTGCTGCCTGAGGGCCCAAAGATCATGGCCAGCAAATACTGGTTTTCGGCCTTGTCCCTTGGATACAGAGATTTCTCCGGATCCTCTGAATCTTTTAATGATATTATGTATCGTAGATGATGCAAACGTTCTGTCCTATTTTATGTTGAAAAATGTTATTCTTGAATTGTTGTACTATTTGATCGTGCAGTCTTTCACAGAGTGGTGAAACCCCTCATCATCTTTACTTCTGAAAGCCTCTCTGAGATGCTCTTTTTATACCCAAACATGTTACTGACCTGTTGTCAATCAACCACCAGGTGTGTTTTTAGCATTACACAACTTTACTAGCCTTTTGTTGCCCCCATCACAACTTTTTTGGAACATGTTGTTGGCATCAAATTCAAAATGGGCAAATATTTTTCAACATCTGATTTGTTGTACTATTTGCACATCATTTTGTTTTTATTTACATTTTGCACAGTGTCCCAACTTTTTTGAAAATGGGGTTGTATAATGGATATCACTGCATGGGCTCAGGAATACTTTGACAAATCATTGTTAATAAACACTGTCTGTCACTGCATCCACAAATGCAAGCAAAGACTTCACTATGCACAGCAGAAGTCATATGTCAACAACATCCAAAAACACTACTGGCCTCTCTGGGCTCAATCTCATCTAGAAATGGACTGATGTAAGGGAGGCAAATCTGACCAAAAAAGAAATTATAATAAATTATAATTAAAACAATAAAATGTAAATGCAAACCTCTTTTTGCCATTTCTTTTTCCTAACATCTGCACAAATATCCTGCCAAAATTGAAAATGAAATACCGACATTTGCAATATCATTTTTCACGAGTGATTTGTGACACACACAAACACACACACACACACACACACACACACACACATACATTTCCTAAGCCGCTTATACTTCAGGGTCACGGGGGTCATTTGTGACAAAAATAAATTTAAAACAGCTATTTTTCATTTCATTTTATTCATTATTCGGGTATTTCATGGCCACATCTAAAATAGAAAAGCTAAAAGAGAAAAGAAAATCCAAGCTTTGGCTTTTCTTCATGAAATGCGTAATACGTGTGAAAACTAAAATCAAAATGCCATGTTTACATTGTTATTTCTTTTTCATAGCAATAGGCTGCATACCTGACAAAATAAACATGAAAATGGAAAATGGATAAATCAACAGCAAAGTGACAGTTGGTGATTCAGTTTTCGACATGGACGCGTTTTAAACGTCAGAACAAAAAGTCACATGGAAATGACCACAGGCGGCATCTGCTGGAGATTTACTTTTCATTTCCCACTTTGCTTTTAATTTTAAGTTACTCAACATGTAAATATATGTTAATTAACACTAGGCGGGGCTACAGGGTACATTTTAGGACATCCTCAAACTTCAGCCTTGGGAAAACCATTGTCATGTCTTAGATCTGGTGTAAGTGAACATCAGACAAAACAGTCTCAGAAAAAAACAAGATCAAACATCGTCACACAAATTTGCCTCAGTCATTAGATTAGCGGACCGCCGACTAAGTTGACAACAGCTGACAATGCAGCCTCTCGTTTATTGTAGTGGCTTATATGGAGAGAGGTGAGCCATATCTGATTTCATTTACCCTCAAAACTCTTTGCAAATGTTACACTGGCATTTATATTGAGAATACACAATAGTTTTTATAATATACGAACCAATGCTCAACCAAGCTTGCGTTGGGTCTGATATGTTTTTTTCGGAGGCCATTTGGTCTGACAGCGTTTGGTCTGATATTCAGTTACACCAGATCTGAGACATGACGATGATTTTCCCAAGACTCAAAGTCATTTAGTCCGAGGAATGACGCCATTCTGTCACTGAGGTGTGAGGATGTCTTAAAATGTACACCGTAGCCCTGCCTAGTGTTCATTAACATATACTTACATGTTGAGAAACTTGAAAACGAAAAAGCAAAGTGGGAAATGAAAAGTAAATCACCAGCAAATGGCGCCTGTGTTCGTTTGCATTTACCTTTTTATTCAGATGCTGAATCGCAAACTGTCACTTTGCTGTTGATTTTTCCATTTTCATGTTCATTTTGTAAGAAAAAGAAAAATAAAGTAAATATTGCTTTTTGATTTTAGTTTTGACATGTATTATCCATTTCATGAAGAAAAGGCAAAGCTTGGATTTTATTTTCTTTATTACCTTTTCCATTTTAGATATGGCCATGCAATACCAGAATAATGACTAAAATAAAATGACAAATAGCTTTAAAATTTATTTTTATTTTTCTCACAAATTACTGTAAAAAATGTAAAAAATGAAATTGCAAATGTTGGTATTTCATTTCTTTTTCAATTTTGGCAAGATATTTGCGCAGATGTTTGGAAAGAAATGGCAAAAAGAGGTTTGCATTTACATTTTATTGTTTTAATTTTAAATTTTTTTTTTGGCTGGATTTGCCTCCCATAGTGATGCACAGTGGAAACGTATACTGGGGTCTGACGAATCCACTTAGATTGTTTGTGGAAGTAATGGAAGTGATGTTCTACATTTTGGGGCAACATAATAAGTCTTCTACATGATGGGTTTTTCATGGACGCTCACATTCTGCATGTGTAACAACTGCATGGCTGCATAATCAGACAGTGCGGGTGCTAGACTGGCCCGCTTGCACTCAGACCTGCCTCCCACTGAAAACGTGTGCAAAACACAACAACAAAAGTAAACACACAAAACATGCCCCTCTCCCAGCTTTTTTGGAACATGTTGCAGGCATTGAATTTGGAGTGAGCATATGTTTACAAAAACCAATGAAGTTCATAAGGTTAAAGCGAAAATATTGTGTTTTTCTACCATTTAACTGTTTTTGTTAGCATTTCATATACTGTCCCAACTTTTTTGGAATTGGGTTTGTACTTACTCATTCCCAAAACTTGATCCATTCTGTTAAAAACAACTGATGAATTATCTGAAATAATAAACATCTAGACTCCTTTTGGTGTATCGGTGCAGTCAAACATGCAAGTTATGTTTGCATTTTGTTATGCATTGTCTTCCACTGGTTATGAAAAAACCCAGTGGACTGACATCTCATTAGTTTTGCTTTTCTGCCTGGACTCTTCTGTCGTTATAGTACATGAACAGAACAGTTGCATGGCTGTATTTTTTTTTCTGAATCTACCAGATCCACATAGCAAACCATAGTTTTGTGAGACAAAGACAAACTAAAATGCACCAGGTTTTCGTTACTGCTGCAAAATTTAACAATAACTACTCACGTTTCATGACTGTGTAATGACATCTTATTGATGAGATCTCATCTACTGCACCTTTCAATTTTAAGCATATTTAAACTTTCAGAAATACTTTTAAGTTTTTAAGTTAAGTTTTCAATATTAAGTAGATTTAGTAGTATTTAATAGAAACACATGTTGAAAGCTGAAGTATGTAATGCTGCAGTGTTATGCTTATCTGACTCACTTTTCTACGAAAAAGCTTGATCTGTCAAAATAATCTCCAAATAATCATGCAGCTAGTTAAATGTCTGCCCTGTTTACATAATCCTAGTAAACAGATATTTGACTGAGGCAAGATTGCCTTATCTTTCAGTTCTGTGGGAAATCAATAGAGTACTTTTGGGTTGAGTGGATTGTTTTTTTAACCTTTCTACTCTGCCTATGCTAAAAGGCACAAAAGTTAATAATTCATGTCTTCAGTGACTCTTTTAACAATTTCATCAGAAGGAAAAAAAAAACATTTCCAAAAGTATAAGCCACTCTTTTAAGAATGTTCAGATCTGAATTCACTTTGTGTTTGATCACCAACCCTGGAGATACTTGGTTGCTATGTTATGGATCCTAAACTCTTCAAATGAGTAAGGTGCTAACTGAAGGAAACCTAAAAAACACATTCTCTTAACTCTAGATGAAATAGCTTTAGTGTAGGCCACTTTCTCAGATGGAATTCTGAAATACATGCTATAAAAATTTCAAAATTGTAGCTGACCATAGAGCAAACACCCCAGGACTGCTTTTCCCCTGGTCTGATAGCCTGTCGCCTACGCCCTCAAATTCATTGACTTTGGCACCTATCATAAAACTGTTTACTTTTGGCTGTTTCACTGTATTCTATAAAGGACGAGGATTGGGCGCGAGCTGGATTAGTCTCAGGTTTGTGGGTTTCCCATAAACTCCACATTGTACTATGAGACGACTGTTGATTCTAGCAGCCCTGATCCAGGTGCTGCTTGCACTCAGTGAACCAGGGAAATACAGCTGTGAGGAGGAGCAGGATAATTCTGCCATTGATGATGCAGTGCAATTCATTAATGAACTACACCACCATGGATACAAGTTCAAACTCATCAAAAAGGATAGCCGCACATATCAGAAGACGGTGAGTTTGACTAGGAAGCTTGACTAACAAGTTGCTATTAAATAAAATGAACATTTCAACATCACAATCATCTCTAAACTCAAATGAATTAAGAGTGTAAATAATTTTAAATGTTGTCTGACACTTGCAGGGTGATTCCTGTGATGTTGTCATGGCACTGACCTTAGAGGAGACCATTTGCCACATCGTGAACCCCAAACCTGTGCGTGAGTGTGAGGTCAGACAAGCTCATGAAACGGTAAGCTGAACTCTTCCCATTTCTGTCACTTAACCCTAAATGTAAGCTTCACAGACAGCTCATATGAACACATTCCTTCACTCTGGAGGAGCACTAATTTCACTTCTTTCCTTGAAGAAAGTAACAGCAAAATGTAATGTGACTATATGTGGAGGTGGACATAAACCAGGCATCAAAAGTTTCAGTTGTGACACAGAGCCAGGTACTTAAGTAATCTGTATCATGATTTTCCCTAGAAATCATTTAAAACTGCCCTCAGCAGCTTTCTATTTCAATTAAACTTATAACTCTTTGTTTTTTCAACAGCTTCAAGCGAAGAACTGTTGGCCACCTGCCCTGATTGCCCCACTCTTCTGCCTTTGCATGATCCTAAAGGCCTGGAGAGTGTGAAAGCTGCTCTTGACAAGTATAATAAGGATGCTGAACATGCATCCTACTTTAAATTACTGGAAGTAGGCAGACTAACTGCGCAGGTAAGGTAGCTATGTATGGTAATACGGGCCTGTTCTATTGTTTCAAATAATTTAGCCAGCAACTGTTGTGAAGAAGTATACACTGTAAAAAGAGATGCAGTCTATTGTTATTATTGAGAATGGGGAGAAGAGGTATTTAATTTTGTTTAAGGTGTTTTTTGTTATATGTCTTTCCAGCATAACATGGTGTCCGGAATGAGCTATTTTGCTGAGTTTGCCATAGTGGAGACTGAGTGCTCAGACAAGGTGAAAGCAGAGGAAAGACCAGCATGCAAGTTGCTATGCTCTCCAGCAGCTGTAAGACTACACTTTTAATCTCAAACTCTTTCTGTTTTTTTTTTTCCCTTGGTCAAGGTAGAGAACTGTCTGGTACTAATGTTTTCTTACTCTTCCTAAAGCGCTATGGATTCTGCCAGTCCACCCAACTTGGAAATGGTATTGTGACTGTAAATTGTGAGATTTATGATGCCCAGGTATGCAGTGCCTCTTTCATTTGCAGTCACATTTTAGATTTAAATGAAGAGATCTGTTTTTTTCATCAAATTCCTAAAATTTTTGTTCTGTCCCTTACAGAATACAACACATTTTGGTCCTCTAGGAAAACGCTGCAAGCATCATAAAGGCCATCACAGCCACCCAGGTCATCATGAGCGACAAGAACATGGCCCCCGCCCAGGTCACCATGACCGATCTGATCACCCTGATCACCCACCACATCATAAACCAGGTCAACCAGGCTCCCCTCCCAATCATCACACTGGTCCACCAAGTCGCCCTCATCGTCCAGACTGCTTTATTCCTTCAGAAAGACCATTTCATGTAGGTCCTCCTGGTTTTCCTCATCATAGAGGTCCTCCTCACCATGGAGATCCTCCTCATCATGGAGGTCCTCCTCGTCCTGGAGGTCCTCCTCATCATGGAGGTCCTCCTCCTGGAGGTCCTCCTCATCATGGAGGTCCTCCACACCATGGAGGTCCTCCTCATCATGGAGGTCCTCCACCCCATGGGGGTGACCATCACGAAAAGAAACGTCCAAAGCCAACTGGACCACCCCACCAGGTGCTGCCTGACGGCGAACCAACTCCTCCAGGATCCAAGGATGCCTCAGATTTCCCCTTCCCACAATGCCATGGCTTTGTGAAAATACCTCCCTCCATCCACCCTATATGTCCATTTCCTCTGAGACCGCATGGCAGAGGTACCGTGGCTTGAGGAAATGTGCACAGTCTAGTAAAGAAAACTGAAATGTGATAGTTCTTCTTGTATTAATCACCAATTTCATTATCCATTTCAGTGCCATGAACAATAAATTGTCTTCATGCCATCAAATCAGATTTGGTCTCAGCTTTTTTCATTTATATTAATCATCCTTAATATGCTAACCTGGTCATTTTCATTTAATCATTTGGAACAGAAAAAATATTTTGGCCCTCAGATTTTCACTGATTTCTTTTAAAAAATGATGAAAAAAAGAAAAAAAGTTTATACTGTAACAAACATTTGTGAGGGGGAAACTCTTTTTCGGTTTATTTTAGAGGATATGGTGAAACGTAGTAAGATAGAAAAATATACATATGCGTATATTTTTTACCGTGACAACATATAATAAATGCACATAATGTTACAAAAGAAGGCATTGTATGAATTTTTTTAGAATTCAAGACACATGATAGGGCAAAGAATTGAAAGCAAGTTAATTTGGCAACATCTAATGAATCAGGCTCATGTGTGCAATATTTACTTTTTAGAGGTGGTGAGGCAATGAATCCTGTCATGTACAGAGCTGAGTGATATAATGGTGTTCTTTTATCTTACCTAAAGAGAGCAAAAGATGAACTGTAAAAGACTGTAATCTAAGGCGCTCAAAAATGAAACAATCAATGAAACAAAACAATGAAAATGCAATCAACAACCCCCTCAATAATCAATAGGTAGTTTAAATAGTTAAATAGTCAATCAGGTCAGTGAGTTGAAAGGGTGTTGTTTTGCTGGGCTGATTGGGGTTGTGTGATTGATTGGAATTGAATGAGATCACAGGGGCTTTTAAGAACCTTGTTTACTGACAGGGCAGGTACAGGCCTCAAGGCTGCTGGTCCTGAGGGGTGTTATAGTAGGCTATAAAAGCTTTGTTGCTCCTTCCTCCTTCAGTGATATGTCTGTGTCTTTGAGAGAGAATGAAAGGCAGCAGTTACACCATGAAGCAGTGTGTGCTGTTGTTGCTAGTATTTGCATGTGCGCATGGAGCCCCTGCAGGCATTGTGCCATCAAGTTCCTGTCAAGATCCTTCAATTAAAGATGCTGCTGCACAGGCTATGGACAAAATCAACCTAGAACGCAGCAAAGGCTACATCTTTAGCCTGGAACGTCTCAGCAACGTCGGCCTGCTGCGCCACGTGAGTGTGTTTGATGTAATAAGTTGGTTATAGAGAAGTAAGGGTCATCAAAATTTACAGCAAACTGTATTTTTTCCAACTGCAGGGTGAGACTGGAGTGGTGTATTATCTAACAATTGATGTCCTTGAGACTGACTGCCACGTCCTCAGTAAGAAGAACTGGAGGAACTGCAAAGTCAGAGACATTGGTGGACACCCGGTATAACTACTCTCTTTTCTAAACTTCCTGTCCATTTACATTCAGGAGTCTATTTAAGTGATTAAATTTAAGTTTAACATTATGCTTTATATTGTGATGCCCAGGTGTATGGTCAGTGCAGAGCAGTGTTCTACATAAACAGATTTCATAGAGTCTCCCGCCTCTACAAATACAGCTGTGCAGTCAGGCCAGGTAATAACAAGTATACAACAATGCGATGCAATCTCTTCTGTGTTAACTATCCCAACAGGAAGATAATAGAGAAATGTCTGCTTTCTTTGGCAGTCCCTACCTCCAAAATTGCTTTGGTATGCCCTGACTGCCCAGTTCTAATTCCACTGGATAATGAAGAAGTCCAGAAGACTATGAGGATGGGCCTGGAGAAGTACAATAAGGAGAGCATGCAGGCTAACTACTTTACTCTTCTTAACATCACAAGAGCTACTAGCCAAGTAAGAACTTTTTTTTTCAAAGAAAGAAAGAAAGAAAGTAAGAAAGAAAGATAGCACTGGATTTTATGTCTTGCAGGGGGGGGTTGTCACTTTCTACAATGTGGAGTTCACCATCCAGGAGACAGTCTGCTCCAACACAACTGATATAGCTGAGGTTTCAAAGTGCGAAATAATGACCTGCGAGTTTGCAGTAAGTAAAACTGTCTTCAAATGAGTGTATGCAGTAAATCCTTAATAATGAAACAGATTAATTTATGTAATTTATATAATGCATAATTAAATTCAATTCCATGGTGATGATGTAAGCAATAAAGTATTGTTTTCCATCCTCAGCACAAGGGCTTTTGCAAAGCCACCCACTCTCGATCTGTCGGAGGTGAACACCTAAACCTTGAGTGTGAACTTTTTGAACCTGAGGTAAGATTATAGACAAGAGCCAGTCTTGACCTCCCTGGGGCCTTTAGCAAAATTCTGCAAGGGGGTCCACCTACCTGACTTGTGAGCCATGTAAACCATTTGCAATTGCCACAGTCAGTGCGCCTAGGAGGAGTGGCCCTCATGGCCAATTATTATATGGCCTAGTGACCACAGAGGATTCATTTCGCACGCACATATGAACACATTTATGCACAGCACGGTAATCGTTTCCAAGCTGCAGTTTGTAAACACTGTTGCCCGTTGGCGTTCATCAAACATAATAAATAGGTGTATTCCACTCTCACTTTTGTCAGGCACAAAATCACAAGCAAGCAAGACACAGACTTGGCAAGCAAGACACAGACTGACTATGAGATACACTCCTCAGCTAGGTTAGCAAGACAGACAGACAGACTAAATATATATATATATATATATATATATATATATATATATATATTTATTACCATCTTAAAATGCCAGGGCCTGCCGGCAGACCCAAAGTTATATTATACAATTCTATAACCAGTTTGCATTGGAGTCCATGTAGTTACTGAAGAATAAGTATCCCCTTAAAATCCCAGGCTTATTAAATTCTAAGGCTTATTATTCAGTTACTACAGGGACTTCAGTGCAAACAGGCTGTACTATTCTTAGGTTTTGAAGTGTGTAATGAAACTTTGGGCCATTTAAGGGGTTAAGGCATTAATAAAAATATTATGGGAGTATGTTTAATTCCACATACACCTGCTTACCATCTTAACCTTGTCTTTCAGGCTGCAGAGGAGGAAAAGAAGAGGCATCTGCTGGAACAGAAGCTGGACCACAGTCACAGTACCACTGCTGATATGTCCTTAGGGCATGACCACACTCATGACCACACACATGCCCACTCCCCCTCACACACACAAGACCATGATCATCCCCACGATCACAGGCATGATCATGACCATAAAGCCCTGCATGCCCACGATCACACCAAGGATTTCGGCCACCACCACACACATGAACATAACGAGGGTCATGGTCAGTCCCATGGTCATGCACACTCCCATCACCATGGTCATGACCATGACCACACACACTCACACCACGCCAAAGCTCACAACCACACTCAGGACCAGGGCAAGCACCCTCACCACAACTATGGTCACAGCGATGGGGAAACCCATGAGCATGACCACGAGTTAGCGCTGGACCATGAGCACAAACACGCACATCTCCATGAGTATGAGCATCACCACCATCATCATGAACACCAGCATGAAAGCTCAACTAAACGGCCTGAAGGAGTGGTCTACGTGCTGCCCTCTATGGACAAGCCCATGATTCTTCCTTCCCACCCTGACCAGCCAGTGGCTGAGCCAGCACAGCCATCCACTCTGCCCTTCCACCCTGACCCACAGATTCCTGGAGAGAGAGAGCCCACCATAATGCCCTTCCCATCTGCCCAGTCCAGGGAGTGCCCAGCAGACTTCAAGACTGAGAGCAAACTCATTAAGGAGGTCTTTGCTCAGGACCCTCTCTTCAAAAGTGCTCCTGCATGTGAAAAGCCTGTGAAAAGCCTTTCCATGTTTGCATATTGTAGCTAGGAGAAAAAACTGGATGAGGTACCCAGTGCAATAAACCATGTTTTGAACTGGCTGACTGACTATTGATTATTGTGTACAGCTCCACATGCACACAAAACATTTTACAAAACAATGAGCTCATTACATTATATCATATTATATATTTTATTATATATTAGAACATTAATAACAATGTATAACACATATATAACTGAGATATACAGAATAATGACAACAAAACAATAATAATAATAATAATAATAATCATCATCATCATCATCATTATCATCAGACAGAGACAGAACTGAAAAAAATAACAAAATAAAGAAAAAAAATAAAATCATTATAAGGCTGCATGATTTTTAAAGAAAAAAGTCTGACTGAAACAATGACTATGTCTAACTACTAACTTAAATGAGAGGTTATGAGAGAAATTATCTAATTTCCAGGGTCAGGGTCCTTTCTGTGTGGAGTTAGCATGTTCTCCCCGTGTCTGCGTCGGTTTCCTCCCACAGTCCAAAGACATACAGTCAGGCTAACTGGAGATGCTAAATTGCCCCTAGGTGTGAATGTGTACGTCTGTCTGTCTTTCTGCCCTGCGATGGACTGGTGACCTGTCCAGGGTTTTACCTGCCTTCCACCCAATGACTGCTGGGATAGGCTCCAGCTCCAACTGCAACCCAGAAGTATAAGTGGCTTAGAAGGTGTGTGTATATTTTATTATGTAAATGATTAAAAGAAGAACTTATAAATCTTGTTTGTGAAACTAGCAGAAAACTTAGAGGGATAATTTAAAGTAATTGGATGAAGTGCAGACTGCTAGTATTGTAACCTGCTATATTTTCAATAAAGTTTTAGTCGAAAGTGACCTAAAGCGAGCCTGTCACAAAAGCACATATTCAGATCTTCTAATTCCTAATGCTAATAAGCATTTCCAATTATATTTGATTTCATCCATTTCTCCAGTATAGAACAGGTCACAGATCCAAATTCAAGTCAGAGCTCAAATGTAATGTCAACATTTGACATGACATGACCCTTTCACTGGATAAATGGTTTACACCTCTAGCAATATCATTAATAAATCTGTCAACAGGTCATACAGATGTAGCAGCATTGCCCAAGTGTGCCAAAGAGTCTGGTAATGTGTTGCCTCATTCCAAAAGACACGGTAACAAAGCAGGTACTATTGTTGTTGCAAAGGAGAAATTTGTGCAGCTGCTAAAAGGAAAAAAACTGGAAATCAGTATCTGAAGAAGCAGTATCTGTATATTGTATTTTGCTTGTGATTATGATATGAAATGTCAACTGAAACAAGAACTCACTTGTAAATGGGGCCTTTACCGCATAGGTAAAAGGCCAATGGCAGATAACACTGCTGTTTGCTGGTGAAAGTTCAGGGTTTGCTGTGTGACCAGAACTGCACACATATTTGCGTCTTCTCTGTCTGCTCAGGGTCGGCTAAAGGAGATTTACTGGAGAAAATGCTGCAATACGTCTTTCTCTTATTTATATGCTTGCACTTGCAGAATGGTATTGCCACACCTGATCCTACAGGGTGCATGGACCCGGCTATTGTGAAGGCAGCTGAGGAGACACTGGATCATATCAATGCATACAGAGAAGAAGGGTACATCTTCTCACTGAACAGAATATATGATGTCAAGCAAGAGGCAAAGGTGAGTCAGTGCTGATAAAAGTCATTGCCATTACTTGTTAACAGTGTTGACTGGTAGTAAGAAAATGTTCATAAGATCTTCTTTGCACCGGCCAGTTTCTACATATCACGACATAAACATGGCACTTCATGAATTAAACTGACCCAGTCTGTTGCTATGCCCAAAGGAGGGAGGTGCAAGCCAGTTACATCTGATAATAGACGTGCTGGAAACAAAGTGTCACGTGATCAGCAGAAAGACATGGAAGTCATGTGAAGTAAAGACAGTTTCGGATGTTCCAGTAAGCCCTTGTGTTTTTTGCTAGCAACTTGATCTGTACTAAATTATGTCAACATACCCAGATAAAGGACAATGGTTTTCAGAAACACTGAAAGTGTAAATTCCTTAACAAATCTTCCAGGTCTTTGGAAAATGTGAAGCATCAGTCACTTTTCAGACCACTATAATACTGCATAACTTTAACTGCACCATTCAGCAAGGTGAGATGCCATCGTGCATGTGTAATTGTGATTTTAGTCATTCATTCCAATGCAGTTATAGTGGCAAGAGTCATAAAACAAGAGAACAACTGTGCTCTTTTCCAGTTCCTGCTGTTGCCATTGTTGACACTTGCCCAGACTGTCCAACAGCAGAGCGCCTGGATGAACCTATTATAGTAGAGACAGCAAATCTTTCTATGCAAAAATTTAACAAAGAGACAACCATGCCCAATTACTTTACTCTCCTGAACATAACATCTGCAAGTATGCAGGTATGTTAAAGCCACTCTCTGTAAAATCTAACCATTCAAAATCATTATTCAGTCAGTTGTACCTCAAGACAATTTGTTTTGACAGTGGGTTGTTGGTCCAGCCTATTTTGTGGAGTTCACCATTCAGGAGACAGATTGTGCCAAAGCCTCAAAAGCCCCAACTGATGTTAGTTTCACTCAATGTCGCCCAAAGGATGGTCCATCTGTGAGTATCATAGTTTGCAAATTAATAAACAAATATATGCTTGCAATCTAACAATGCACTTTTAGCTTGCAGTTTCATTTTAAATCTGTATTCTCTTTAAGATGAAAGGATTTTGTACTGGCTCACACACAACCATTGATGATGGCCCTGAGATCAAAATTCCCATAGAGGTCAAATGTTCCATCTATAAATCAACAGTAAGTAGCCTTCAATCCAAAATTCAAATGTAATGTTTGCTTGTTAGAGAGTGTGATGGACCAACTGTGAGTTTTTTTGTGTATTGTAGCCTGATACTGAGCCAGAGAAGTTCCATGATGCAATCAACCACAGAACAACTGAAAAACCTACAACAGTCCAAACTCCCTCTGGATCTGTGCTGCTTCTGCCCCCTCCACCCATCCCGATGCCACCCAGAGCACGGGCTGCTGCCAGCAACTGCCCTGGAGAAAGGAGACACTCCCTTGGACTAAGAGCACTGAAGCTGTGAACTAACTGTCCGTTAACGTCCTGTCCATAGCACATTATGCAATCCAAAAAGCACTGGTGTTCATATGTATTATGTTGTGGTGCTAACTACATCTTCACAAGGCTGTGAGTTGTACTGTATGTCTCCCTGTCAAGCCCACACTGTACACTCATTACACTTTTGTAAGTTGACCTCAGACTACCTATTATCACAGAATTATATGCTTTAAAAAGGTTTTACAAGACAGTAGGGTCTTAAAAATCCATCTTACCACTGGGTTATGTATTGGTTTTGATTTGGGATTCGATCTCCAGTACCACTGACAGTGTGGACATTTTGAACTTCCAGATTAAATCACTATTTCTATCATCTATCCACTTGAAATCATCATTTTATCAGGAATCTTTAAGACCAGTACTGCCATGAAGATTTTTGTTCCAATCTTAATCTAGCTATTCAAGGCAGTCGGGATCACCTAAATAATACAGTCACATTGTATGCAGAAAATCACAAATATTGCATTCATCTTACCATTTTATTTCAAGTTAGAAATATAAAAAGAGACTTCACTCACTGTGGACTTCTCTTAGTCTTTCTTCCTTTAAAATATCCAAAAGCACTTCAAAAAGACCTGACATTTTATGTTTCTGTAACACCACAAAGAATCTTGGCACAAAATGCATTATTGAAATAAAATCATATTTATATATTTAATTTTAATATAGAAAAGGCAATCATTTAATGCATCATTAAAATTTAAACTGAAAAAAAGGATCAAAATGACTGTTGGCAGTAGTTATTCCACTGGTTTTATATCTGGTAAACTGTCACTGTTTTTCTATTGCTATAAACATAAATAGATGCTTTTGGAGCTGTTTTTTTACGTGTCCGTAAAAAGGCTACGAGGAGCAAATTCGTTGTGTTACGCTATGAAGTCCCGGTTCTGATATACAAACACGTTGTTGTGAGTGAGAGCAGCCAATCAAATACAGCTGGCTTTGTTGACAGATAAAACAGCCAATGAGTGACTAATTTCTACGCGTAGGCGGCATCTCAGCACATTGACTTACAGGAAGTGTGTGCGGGGAGATTTTATATACTTTCAAAATCTGACGCCGTTCTTCTTAGTTTGTTATGTCGTTTTTGTGTCATTTATTCGCAAATGAGATTAGCTGGAATCGGAACTCAGGCTATACAGCTAATGATTTTTGCCTGATCATCACAAGACGGTGAAGCATGTGATGTTGATCGAGCTTTGGGGACTTTGGGTCGAAGCGTCAATGGTTAAAGTGAAATTTTGAGAAAACGCCCTCGCCCAGGAGACAGTTTAGTCTGCTGAAAGTGTAGTCTTAGTCCATGTTGCAGAAATGGTTCATGTGTACAACTGTCACCCCTTCGCCTCTCAGCATATTGTTCCGACCGAACAAGAGCCTGGCTTGGTGTGTTGTGGTGGCGGTGCCCTTTTCGTGGTGTCTGCAGGAGGATGCAAGATCGAGGCATATCAGATGCAAGAAGACCAGTGCCCTCTTATTTGCCGTTTTTCTACCATGGGCACAGTCCTTAGCATTCTGCACAGTCAAACTGGTGAGTGTTTTTACATTGTTTATATTCAGTTACATTGTATGTAGGAGTGTTCTATGTGCAGAAGATGCCCATACAGTTTGAACCATTCTGTAATAAGTCTTGCCTATCAGTGATAAGTTCAGACTGATCACTTTTTTGATCACTTATGTTTTTATACTTCTAGGGGACTACCTAGTCACTATTGAGGAGAAAAACAATGCCACTTATCTCAGGGCCTACACCAACTGGCGCTACCAGGCTGCTGAGAAGACCCGCGTTGGGGTGCGTCTGCTCGGCCACTTCCTGCGAGGTTCCTCCTTTCGCGGGGCTCCTAAGGAGCAGATGGAGATCATAGAGATTCCACTGTTCGAGCCCCCGCTGTGCATGGCCTGCTGTCCTCTGACAGGCGACCTGCTGGTGGGCTGTGCCAAGAGCCTAGTCGTGTTCAGCCTGAAAAGGCAGGCCCTGAACGAGCAGCTGGCTGTGCTGGATTTTGAAAGGGTCCTCATCCTCCACATCCCCGGATGGAGCCCATCACAGGTGGCTTTCTGCGTAGGATATGTGGCCTTGCAGATGGAGCTGGAGGTACTGGTGGTGAAGCTGCAGCAGTTGGAGAAGAGATATCTGTCCCCAGGAGACCATACACCACTGCCCGTTGATATCATGGCTGCGGCAGGCCTTGTTGAAGATGGTATTGTTATGGATCCATCTGTACTGCGCTACCTAATACATTGACATTATACTGTATGATTACAAAACTTTAGGTTTATAACATACTTACAAACTGAAGTTGCAAATAAAAATGAAAATTACTTTTTTTTTAATTCATATATAGTTAGTCATAACTCAGAGTGTTTTGATGTGAAATGCACTATTCTAGAGAAACTTGCTGAGTCACAATCTTCCACAATGGTGGTGATAGTAACCAGATGTCTGTTGAGTTTAGTACCTCTAAAATGAATCTTACAGACAGCTATTACATGAAATTATTACAGATGCATAATACAGATGATGCCTGAGCCATTGTTTTACAATAGTTTTGACAGAAGGTTTTGGCCTAAAACATATGTTTTTAAATACATTCAGGGTGGAGAGGTCCCTGCAGGGCATTTTAAGGCAAAATAGCACCCAACGGAAACTTTTTCCAGATTTACTGTTTACTGTCATCAACATTACATATATTACCTCCTATTACCTCCATTGCATCAACATCTGAGTCAGAAAGTTTCTCTACCACGCACCATTTCACCTCAAACCACTCTGATTGACTTTGTGTACATCTCGGTGATCTAAATTATGCAGCCATCAGCTGAATTCCCCTACAATTAATAACAATTAATTGCCTTAATAACCTTAATTTAGGGTTAATTTAAAATTAACTTTATAAATTTAAAGTTACTAACAGTAACTCTGTGTCCACTTGTCAAATGCTAGATATCTGTTGTGAAACTAGGTGTGTCTGTGTTACAGTCAGGTCCACAATTTTTGTAATTTTGCCTCTGTACACCACCACAATGGATTTGAAATGAAGCAGTCAAGATGTGATTTAAGCGTATACTTTTAGATTCAAGGGTTTAACAAAATATTGCATTAACTATTTAGGAATTATAGCAATTGTAACATAGTCTCTCCATTTTTGCATGTGCAAAAGTAATTGGACAGATGACTGAACAGCATTTTCCTGGCCAGGTGTGGCCTGTTCCCCCATTAGTTCATGATAAATTAAGGAGATAAAAGGTCTGGAGTTGATTCCAAGTGTTAAATGTGCATTTGGTAGCTGTTCATGGGAACTCTCCATGTGTGGTCCAAAGACGTGTCAATGCAAGTGAAGAAGGCCATCATGAGGCTGATAAAACAAAATAAACCTATCTGAGAGATAGCAGAAAGTTTAGTAGTGGCCAAATTAGCAGTTTGGCACATTCTTAAAAAGAAGGAATACACTAGCAAACTCAACAACACCAAAAGGCCTGGAAGACCAAGTATTGCAGAATTGTGATTGCAGAATTGTTTCTGTGATGAAGAAAAACACCTTCACAACATCTAGTCAAGGATATTCTCAAGGAGGTTGGCGTATCATCATCAAAGTCTATAGTCAAGGTACTGCAAAAGCAACCCAAGAGCTTCTTAAGGCAAAGAAATGGAATGTTCTTAAATGGTAAAGTCAGTCACCAGGTCCTCAACCTGATTGAGCATGCTTTTCACTTACTAAAGACAAAACTGAAGGCAGAAAGACACACAAACAAGTGCCAACTGAAGGCGTGTGCAGTAAAGGCCTGGCAAAGCATCTCAAGGGAGAAGACTCAGCATTTAGTGATGTCCATGGGTTCCAGATTTCAAACGGATTTCATTCAAGTCTTTAAAGTAATCCTTGTGTTTATAAATATGTTTGTCCAGTTACTTTTGAGCCTGTGAAAATGGAGTGAAAAATGACTATGTAAAAAATGACTGTAATTCCCAAACAGTTATTTTGTTAAACCCTAAAAATCTACAGTTCAATCACATCTTGACTGCTGCATTTCAAACTCATTGTGGTGGTGTACAGAGGCAAAATTACAAAAAATGTGTAACTGTTCAAATATATATATATATATAACCTATATGTATGTCACTTTTTCTCTAGATGTGAAAAAAGAGCCACTTAGTCCCCATGAGCCAGATGACTTCTTCGTGTTCCCAAAGCATTTGGAGTTGCTGGGGGACGACGCAAAAGACTGTGGAATCTCTGTGTCTTTAGAGTGGACAGGAATGGAGACCGAGGGAAAGAATAACATGGGAATTACCTATGTCTTATACAGGTACAATAAGCACCCAGGGTTCTGTTTGTTGGGGTTTAGCACAATAAATTACATCATAGCGAGCTTTCCTGATGATATTGTGGAGATTGTCAGTACCTAAAAGAACACAGAGCTGCTGCATGTTTTCATTAAAAAGAGATTTGGTCAGGGTTTTCTATGCTGCTGTTATCAGGAGGTGTCGACAATTCCAAGAGTGCATAATGGGTCTTTTTTGGTACTAATTTGTACTGTTTCGTTGGTGCATTATGTCTGCTCCACCCCTATACCTCCTGTACCATCAAACTGACGTTCATGTACTTCATTTATGTTTTATATGGCACTGTATGCATTTCTTAATCTTGTTCTGTTGTTCTCCTTTTTAGGAGATTTGCTCCTGATTTCTTTCAGGGCTGCAGTGTGGAGGAGACATGCTTACACTCCCTGCAGCTCCACCCCATGTACACGGGTAGGCATTCAGAAAGGGATGTCATGTTTAGGAGACCAAAGACAATGACCAATGCAAAAAGAGAACAAATGTTAATGGCCCATCATTCCTCTTTCATTATTGCTTGTTTCTCTGACTTTATGTAGGTAATCAGGATGGAACCAGTGACACCAAAGAGCCTTCCTGTATGTTCTGTTTCTTTTCTCTGCCCAATGCTGGATATATGTACAGTCTGAAGAGCACAGTAGAGCTCATCTCCACCTACCAGTACCCCGAGAAGACCCATCAGGCTGTGCTCTGTGACCAGTATCTATATGCCCTCACCAGGTAGGTGATAGTAACATCCTCTCTTTTCACCCAACAACATCATTATTGCATAACATGCAACATCATTATTTCACTGAGAAGTCTTCTTGTTTTCTTAGGAATGCTCTGCAGTGCTTCTCTGTGAGGTGCAGTGCTGTGGCAGCTCGAGCAGAGGACCCCTACATTGATACCACCATGAAGGTAAGCGGGAAGAGTTAGAATTAGTTAGACTTCACTGTTTTACTGTGTACCATCCAGTGTGCTAGACGGTGAGACTTAACTGCAAAACAGTTTTTTTCTTCTTCTGCTTGAGTTCCCTCAGTGGGGGTCACTTTTCAAAGCTTGTATAGTAATTGTGAGACTGAATTTAGTGGCCATTCTCTCTCGGAGGCCTAGCCAGTGTTTGTGAATATCAGGGTTTATTCAATTAACAATCTGAAGTCAACATTTATTGCTTTTGTTATCGTACATTATTTAACTGTAATTATATAATCACATATTTAACATATAGTGAGTTAAGTCAAGAGGCTTTTATTGTCATTCCATCTATGTACAAGTACACAGTGGAGTGAAATTACGTTCCTCCAGGAACAAGGTGCTACAAGGAACAAAGTACAAAATTACAAAGTGCGAACGTGCAGACAGTGTGCAAACAAAAATTAAGCTAGAAACAATACAATAAATACGATAAATTAAACAGACGTTAGACACAGTAAACAGACCGGACAGTGTAGCACCAACACAGCACAGATTTCTGGACATGAAGTAGTGGAATAAGGTGCAGACATGTTTAAAATGATGTGATCTGTAAGTTACGTCAGATAACATACATATACACAGCAGTTACTGAGGTAGTAAAACAGTTACTGAGGTAGTGAAAACAGTGTAAACACAGTATTGGCAACAATGTTCCAGATAGATAGTGCAAGTAGAGCATCAAAAGAGGTGTGTATGAGTGTGTAGGGGGGGATTTAGTTCAGTCCTTGTGAGTTTAAAAACCTGATTGCTTGAGAGACAAAGCTGTTGCAGAGTCTGGCAGTGATGGCACGGATGCTCCGGTACCTTCCGCCAGACGGCAGCAGTGAAAAAAGTCTGTGTGAGGGATGGATGGGGTCGTTCACGATGCTGGTGGCTTTGCGGATGCAGCGGGTGGTGTAGATATCCATGATGGAGGGGAGAGAGACCCTTCCCAGCTGTCCTCACTATGCGCTGTAGGGTCTTGCGGTCGGAGGCGGTGCAATTCCCAAACCGATGATGCAGCTGCTCAGAATGCTCTCCACAGTCCCCCTGTAGAACATGGTGAGGATGGGAGGGGGGAGATGAACTTTCTTCAGTCTTCGCAGGAAGTAGAGGCGCTGCTGGGCTCTCTTGGCTATGGAGTTGGTGTTGAGGGACCAGGTGAGATTCTCTGTGATGTGGACGCCAAAGAACTTGGTGCTCTGGACGATTTCCACAGCAGAGCCAGTGACGTTCAGTGGGGCGTGGTCACCTCACACTCTTCGGAAGTCAACAACCATCTCCTTAGTTTTGTCTACATTCAGAGACAGGTTGTTGGTTCTGCACCAGCCTGTTAGCCACTGCACCTCCTCTCTGTACGCTGACTCATCATTCTTGCTGATCAGACCCACCACAGTCGTGTCATCAGCAAACTTGATGATGTGATTTGAGTTGTACTTTGCAGTACAGTCATGAGTCAGCAGGGTAAACAGCAGCGGACTGAGCACACAGCCCTGAGGGGCGCCGGTGCTCAGTATGGTGGTGCTGGAGATGTTATTACCTATCCTGACTAACTGAGGTCTCTTAGTCAGGAAATCCAGGACCCAGTTACAGAGGGAGGCGTTCAGGCCCAGCAGGCTCAGTTTTCCAATCAGCTGCTGAGGGATGATGGTGTTGAATGCTGAACTGAAGTCTATGAACAGCATTCTGACACAGGTGTCTTTATTATCCAGGTGGGTGAGAGCCAGGTGGAGTGTGGTGGAGATCTATTGAGCGGTTGGGGCGATATGCAAATTGCAGTGGGTCTGGAAGCTGGTCTTTAATATGCCTCATGACAAACCTCTCAAAGCACTTCATGATGATTGGAGTGAGTGCAATGGGACGGTAGTCATTGAGGCAGGACACTGGAGACTTCTTCGACACAGTGATGATGGTGGTGGACTTGAAGCACGTTGGAACGACTGCAGTGCTCAGAGAGATGTTGAATATGTCCGTGAGAACATCAGCCAGCTGTTCAGTGCATTCTCTGAGCACTCTGCCCAGTATGCTGTCGGATCCTGGAGCTTTCCGTGGGTTGACTCTGTGTAGAGTTCTCCGCACATCAGCTGTGGACAGACACAGTACTTGTTCACTTGGAGGAGGAGTGGTTTTCCTCGCCGTCGTGCCGTTCTGTGCTTCAAACCGAGCATATAAGTTGTTTAGCGCGTCTGGAAGGGAGGCATCGTTGTCACAAGCTGGTGGAGGTGACTTGTAATTGGTGATGGCCTGGATGCCCTGCAAAGTCCACATACTGGTGAAATCTGGGGAGCACTCACTTCAGATTTGCATGGTTGAAATCTCCAGCAACAATAAACAATCCGTCTGGGTGTGTGTTTTGCAGATCACCGATAGCGCTGTACAGCTCATTCAGTGCGGCGTTAGCATCAGCACTAGGAGCTAGGTACACCGCTACTATGAACAGCATAATTAGATCTCTTGGCAAATAAAATGGCCTGGCTCTGACAATCGCAGACTCCACCAGCGGTGAGCAGTGACTAGAGACTAGCGCCGCGTTTCTACACCATTCAAAGTTGATGGAAACACAGTCCCCCACCTCGGGTCATAACGCACAGCTCAGCGTCTCTGTCTGCACGGAAGCACAACAGGCCGTCGAGCTGAACGGCTAAGTCCGGAGTTGAGCTCGTCATCCATGTCTCCATAAAAACGAAAACACAGCAGTCTCTGAACTCACGCTGGGTAGCCTGCTGAATCCGGAGGTAGTCCAGTTTATTCTCCAAGGAACAAACGTTTGATAGAAAAAGCGATGGAACGTTACTTGGTTAACTACATTCTGTATTGACATGTTTGAGTCTGCACTTCTGAATTCCACTTGCTTCGATGTGGCAAAAGGTTGTTTTTTCTTGCTGCAAAAGTAGACTGTATGCATGACAACAGCATTTCATCAAATTCAAATAAAATATGCCCTTTTCTACTGATAAACACAAATGTGTGAGATGAAAGTATAGAATCTGCACATTTGACACAATTTCAATATCAGATTACACAGTGCTTTTGTTACCACCACTGATAATATCAGCTTAACATTCTTTTGCGCCAATTTTGTCTCTCTGTTCAGGCCTGTCCTCCCTTCACGATGGAAGTGTGTGGTCTACGTATACAGCTTTTTATTGGCCTGAAATCTCTGTGCCGTGATGGCAGCCACATCGTCCTACTCACAGCTGCTGATGTGGAGAGCAAAGAGGAGACAGAGCGATCAGCCCGAAGAACTATGTAGGTTATTATAATAAAACACAGTCTTTCCCCACTGACCGAGCTTTTCAATAGCGTTAGTGCAGTTTATTTATAAAAATACAGCACAATTGACTCACCATAGGGGAGCCTGTAAGCTGTATTTCATTGACTGGTTATCCCATCCTGAAACTTCATAGCTTTAACTTAGTCGCACTTTGTTTGGTTTTGCATTTTTGATATATATGCTGTTGTTATGTATATGTATATTATTTTCCATAATTTGTGCACTATATCCAGACTAAAGCTGTAATCTGGAAAAGAGAATTTCAGGCTGGTACAAGGAGACCATGTGTATCTTTGTGATGAAAAATGTTCGCCCCTTTGTTTTTGGGGTTTTTTTTGCATACCGATAGTGTTTTGTATGTTAGTTATTATTCATATACAGTCACTGAGCACTTTATTAGGTAGATACTTCTTGTATCTACCCTCATTGTCTATTTTATCAGCTCTACCTACCATAAAGCAGCTGTTTGTAGTTCTACAGTTACAGATTTTAGTCCATCTGATGCTCTGCATACTTTGTTAGCCCCCTTTTACCCTGTTCTTTACCCTGTTCACAGAGCAGGTATGAAGTGGGTGGTGGATTGTTCTCAGCACTGCGTTGACACTGACCTGGTGGTGGTTTTAGTGTGTGTTGCGTTGGTACAAGTGGATCAAACACAGCAGTGCTGTAGGAGTTTTTGAACACTTCATTGTCATTGCTGGACTGAGAATAGTCCACCAACCATAAATATACAGCCAATAGCATCCTGTGGGCAGCATCCCGTGACCACAGATGAAGGACTAGAGGATGACTAACACAAACTGTGCAGCAACAGATGAGCTATCATCTCTGACTTTACATCTACAAGGTGGACCAACCAGGTAAGAGTGTCTAATAGTGTGAACAGTGAGTGGAAAAGCGTCTGATCCACCAGCGCGACACAAACTAACACGCCACCACCATGCCATGGCAACCCAAATAATACCTGCTCTGTGGTGGTCCTGTGGGGGTTCTGACCATTGCTGAATGAGGTAAAGGTGGGATAAGAAATTATGCAAAGAAACAGATGGACTACTGTGTTTAATTGTAGAACTACAAAATGCACCTATATAATAAAATGGACAACGAGTGTAAATACAAGGTAGGAAGGTAGGTGTACCTAATAAAGTTCTTAGTAAGCATATATCCTTGCACTGCTTGTAGTATACTTTGCTCCACATAATGTAGGTTTTCTTGGTAATTTGTTTGAAAGATGTGCTTGCTGATCATAACCATATTTGAATGATGTGATTGTATTTGCTTATGTGCACTGACGCTTCACGTGCATTGATGCTCAGTAAATGCTCTGTATTGTAGCGAATCAAAAGAGCACAAAGCACTGACAGGGATTTTCCTAGCGGTAGGTATAGAGCCGTCCACCAGCCCAGCTCTGGAGAGCTTCCTGTCCAGGTCGTTCCTGTAAGTCAGCTCTGTGTGACCCTGTCCCTCTAATGACATGATTCCAAAACCTCCCCTAAGATAATGCTAACTTACCCATGTTTGATTGCTAACATAATCTAACATCCCAGTTACTTTTTTATTTATTTATTCATGTATTTGTTTGTTTATTGATTTATTTAGAGAATGGAGGATTATTTTTCTTTAGTGAAACTGCATTTGAAACTGAGGAAATGAAAACTGCTAAGACTTAGCAGTGTGAGTGGATTTTGTGGTCTGTTCACCCCTGGTAGTGGCATTTAGTTGAGGCCTTGAGGCAGAGCTTTCCGTCACATGATGCCCATCAGCTGCTTGCAATAATTGTGTCAAAACTGGACTAATATTATCAGTCCAGGAAATAGGTCACGTCACAACTGCCCAGATACAAAAAGTCTTTTCACCTCCTAGGGGTCATTACAGTAAGTCAGTAGGTCTTCTTCTTATTAAACAACCATCAAAGATACAACTGTGAATTTCTTAGCCATCTTGCCCCTTCTCCACTGATAATCTAGCTAAATCCAGTCACACATAAAGGATTGCACTCAACAAATGGACTATTGTACCCAATGACCTGACTGAACTTTTCAGCACTGGACTTCCTATTTTCCTTACATTAAGTTTCATGACTCAAATACTTTGACTAGAGGTGAGTAATAAATGGTCTCATAAGACTAAAACTTTTCAAAGTTCTAATCTAGCATCTAGATTTTTACATCCTAATGGATATGTTTATGGTGAGGGAGGGGCTGCTTCTAGATCAACTAATCTCATTATACAAACCCAGATCCAAAAAAGTTAGGACAGTGTGTGAAATGCTAATAAAAACAGAAAGCAGTGATTAGTAAATTCTGTTTGACCTGTCTTAAATTGAAAAACAGTATAAAAACACAATATTTTATGTTTTGCCTTATGAACTTTTTTGTAAATATATGCTCATTCCAAAAAATGGGGACATCAGCATGTTTTCCACTGTGTTACAGCACCTTTTCTTTTAACAGCACTAAACAAATATTTTGAGACTGATTCAGATTTTTTTGCCATTTTCCAGTTATACAAGTCTTCAGCTGCACAACTGTACAAGGCATTCCTTGCCATATTTTGATCTTAATAATTCAACATGTGTTTCGATGGGAGACAGTTCTGGATTACAGGAAGGCTAGTCTAGCACCCACACTCTCTGATTACACAGCCATGCTGTTGTAACAACAGCATGGCTGTGTAATCAGAGTTACCCACAACCCATTCACCGCCACCTGCCTTGGACTGGCTGCCCACTCTACACTGAAGTCTCCTAACTATTACTACCTCCTAACTATTACTACTACTACTATTAATATTAGTAGAATAATAATTTTGTACGTAGTTTGACCAGAGGAGGATGGGTCCCCCCATGTGAGCCTTGGTTCCTCCCAAGGTTTCTTCCTCAGCTCTGAGGGAGTTTTTCCTTGCCACTGTCGCCCCTGGCTTGCTCACCTGGAGGATTTACAGTTCATGTTGAAACTTTGTTCTAAACGGATTTCTGTGAAGCTGCTTTGTGACAACATCAGTTGTAAAAAGCGCTATACAAATAAATTTGATTTGATTTGATTTGATATGGCTTGGTGTTGTCATGCTGAAATAAGCATGGACATAACCTGAAAAAGTTGGTGTCTAAAAGTCAGCATATGTTGCTCCAAAATGTGTTTAGTTTTAATGGTGCTTTCACAGATGTGCAAGTTACCCTCTAATACCCTCCTATACCCTTAGAGACCCTGGCTTTTGGATTTTATGCAAATAACAATCTGGTCTTTCTTTGGCCTAGAGAACACAACATTCATTATTATGAAAGTTTGACCTGTTAGATCACAATACACGTTTCCACTGTGCATCCATTTCAGATGAGCTGGAGCCCATTCCCTTGCTCATAAAGGACTAGGACTTTCCTGGATGCTCTTTTTATACCCAAGCATGATTGCATCGCCTGTTTAAGATGTTTTTTGAACATTTCACAATGTTCCAAGTCTTGAATACCCTTTCTGAACTGTTGTGGAACATGTTGCAGGCATCAATTTAAAAAAAACTTGTTACAAAAAATATCTTGTCTTTGTACTGATTTCATTCAAGTACACGTCAAAGTAGACTTTAAAAATCACTGCTTCCTGCTGTCCCAACTTTTTTGAAATTGGGTTTGTATATGGGAATGCGAATGCAGTTAATATCCTTGCAGTACAGGAAATAGTGCAATGCTAAGGGCCAATTATACTGTAAACAGGAGCCCAACATCAGTTCACCTCACAGGAACTTTTTTATCTGTGGTATCTGATATTCTGTTCTTTGCTTTTTTTGTACCAGGTCCAGGAAGACTTCTATCTCATCAAAGCCTAAAGAACCAAATGAAAGTGGCCATGGCTGGAACCTGTATGTAATCAACACTGTGTCCACACTACAGCTGTACAGAGAGATGGTAGAGTATCAACACTGATCCAGTTATACCTGTGACTTTAAGCAGCCACTGGTAATTTATTGATATAAAGTATATGGACCATTCAACCAAATTAGTTCTGCGGTCCCACAGTAAAAAAATATAACAAATATTTAGATTTTAAATATCTACAAAGATTATGATCTGTTTAAACCCAGTGCCTTCACAGAGATAGCAGTAAGCTAAATATATACAAAATATAAACAGGGTACTGTCCATTGAGAGGTGGATGTCCCACCCCTAACCCCTAAATTTCAACTTGTTTTTAAGAAGATCTTTGTGATTTCTTGTGAAACTGAAGTTGAAATACTTAGATTTATCATGAGTTTAATTTTTAAATAAAAAACCTTTATTCAAAAAGTGCTGAGTTTAGTCCACAAACAAAGCCTTATTTTAGCCACAACCCTGCATTTTTTTGAGCAGAACAAATTCAAGTAGAATGATCCACATACCTTTACATAATGTTCATTATAACTTATGCAAGTCTGGAAAGTCTAGATCAGAAAGTATGCATTAAAACTCAAGTGATTTCCAACGTTTGATGCATCTTTTAGAAAAGTACAGACAACCTGTTGACTTGAAACATATTTATAATAGAAACCATTGTGTAGTTCCTAAATTTCCATCAGTAAACGTTAAAGAGAGACACCTTTAAAGCTGTAAATATGTATAATTTGTTAATTAAGAGGTGGAAGTTGTGGTAATATGTTGCCAATGTAGTAATGTCTGTGAAGTTTTCACAGGCATCTGCATAATCACACATGAATACTAAAAAGTAGTAAAGACTGCAGTAATGAACAATACAATAGAAAAACAACAGATTAAAGGGATTTGGTTGAAAAACAGTGGAGGATTTCTTTAACATAAAGCTAAATTAGGGTCCAACAGTAAATTGTAGAGCGCATAGAATACCACTCATGAATATAGTTTATTTTTACTTGTTACTTAACATTTATTCACATACAAAACACATTTTGTTTATTCTACATCCCCAGGTGGAGTACAGTAAGCGGTATGGACAGACCAGCCCACTGTCTCAGAATTGCTTACACCTGCTGAGTGAGGCTCACCTGCTCCTCAGAGCTGCTCTGCTGGGCCAGGAGTCTTCAGACAAAGCTCAGCTTCAGGAAGCATTCCAGGAGAGCTGTGCCCACCTAGGAGACTGCTTCAGCAGGTGGGCCAGAATTCCTTCTCTTAACTGCATACCAGTCTGCTGGCTTTGGTGTCACACCACGATAATGGTTTTTAGTTTTAGCGGTATTGATTGATAGCAAAACCTTAATTGCAGTGTATGCTTTCTGATTGCCTTTTAAAAAAGATCACAGAAGTGGTCACAGCTCTCTTGCCCTTTTGCCTCATTATGTATGCATTTTTTAAAGGTTTCCGTCTCACAAAAGACTGGGAGGAGATGATTATAACGAAGCACCTACTTTTATGTACCAAGACTGATAACAAATGCTGACTGTGTGTTATTCACCCCTGTGAAAAGCTTATTTTTGGCTGTGGCTCCAATTGTTTAAAATTGTTTAAAAAGAGTTCTTGTAATACATTTATTTATTTTGAGATAGAAAAAAATGAATGCCTTGTCACATTGTTCTTAATGTGATGAAGGGCGGGGGGGGGACCCAAAAACCAAATAGTTTTAGAAATACAGTGTTTTAAACTGCTAATTTCTGAAAGCTTGAGTAGATTTTACAACACTCAACAAGCAGGTTTCCCTAAATAATGATTTGACAGCGCTGTGGCTTACGTGTGCACTGTGACAGAACTGTTACAGCCATTCTTTGATGCACTGTACGTAGTTTAGAGATTATGCTCAAATTCATTCAGTTAAAATCTTGAAAAAAAAAGGCTTTATTTCGACCGAATGAGTCACAGGTTGAATCAGATACAGACAGATAAAAAGTCTTTTTCCTACCTGGCAGAAAGAGCCTTTCATACAAAACAACCAAACACATGGTTCTATTGTGCTGATCATACGAGGTTGATTACGAAGTAGCATCTGTGTTTATTTGCTTGTGAGTTTTTAGTCGATAATCTGATAAATTAATTACTCACACACAGAGTGGAGGTAGACTGCTCCCTCTTTTAGTAAGTCTGCTCATTTTTCTGTCCGGTTAATGTTTACAATACTTTGTAAGGTGCCCCTTTATGTAACAGTCCAGTTTGAACAAGCTAAAGTTTATAATACATTCTGGATAGTCGCTGTACTTAGGAAGCATTGCTTTATTAACTTTTATAATGGAACATAAATGTCATCTTAAACATCATGTTTCTGTGATATATTTGGAAAATACTCATCAAAAATCAATTATTCGGATTATGAATCACTACGTTACCAAATAACTTTGATGTACCTATTAGGTTTTAAATTTAGCTTAAGGTTGTTTTATGCATTTACTAACCAATAATGAAGACAATAAAGATGAATAACATTCAAGAAATCACTGTTGTAATGAACTGTCCTGAAAGATAAAAGAATAAAACTCCAACATATTTTTCCTGTCAAAACTTAATAACCAAGGATGTGCAAAGTAGCAGCAATAAAATATAGCAAAACTAAATTCGTTTCCTTTAATCAAGTTAAAAAATCAATCTAAATTTAAATGTTAAACAGTGCAGTCTGTGATCTGTGCATTCTGCTCTCTGTCAACACTTTGCTGCAACTGAATTCTGCAATCACAAGTCTTTATTGGAACGGATTAAAGTCAGTAACTCTCCGTGTTCCTGTGAGAGTCTCGCTCTCCTCTGAGAGCGGATACTCCCCTCTGCAGAGGAGACGCGCTCTGATGGAGCGGATGGGAAAGTGGCGAATGTTTGTGGCAAACTTCTTTATGAACAGTTAAATGAACAATTTTGTGTAAACACTTAATTTCAGCGGTAACCTTTGGTCCAGCTGCCCTGTGTGTCTGCTGAGAACTATACCCTGAAACTGTTAGCGAGTGGAGTTAAACGTTTGCGGAGAACAGAAACCTGTTTGTAAATGCTCTCCTGTGTTCGCCGAATCTGACCGCACCGGCGACCTCGACGTTAAAACAACGATGCAATGTTTAAAAGTGTAAACATTATCTGGAAAGTGAACAGGGTTACTGTGAATAGTTACTTACTTTTCTGTTAAAACTCCATTAACGATACCAGAGAACCTGCATTTCAAAATACAAATGTTACAGTTCAGCTCACAACATGAAGTAGGACAGAATTTAACATTAACATTAGCTAACTAGCTCGCTAGCACGACTATCGCCGCGCCCAAACCACACACTTCTGTACTTCACACATTACACTAATGAGTGCACTTCTAATGTTGTATGCGCTGTTTTTACACACTATTTAGTGTGCTAGTATGCGGTTTGGGACGCGACGCATCTTACTGAGATGAATCTTCCTTACCCAATGAGCCGACAGGGTTCCTCTTCAGACGCTACAACATGGAGGATGTGCTCCCATAGCCAGCTTAGGGCGGCTTTACAAATAGCACAACTGACCACCTTTTTTCTGAGTTTAGCTCCCACACTTTTGAGGATTTTGTTTGAAGTCTCCAGTGAGCGGTCATGTCAAAACGTTCTTAGTGAGCGCGAGAAAGATGTGTAATGACGTCACCAACTACTCGACTACTAAATTAGTTGACAACTAATTTGGTCGTCGATTTAATCGTTGCACCTCAGTACTGCAGTTTGTCACTACTGTCCAGCACCATTTAACAGTATCTTATAGACATACTGCAGCAGTGAAAGTACCTCCTGTTTTTATTGTTTTTATTGCTGTGACTTCTTGCTGACACATATTCTTATTTGTAATGCAGTCACAGTATACTCTTCATTTTTTGACTTATTGTTGTCTTTAAAGCTTTATGTCAGAGCCCCTTTCAGGCACATCAAAAACAGTATAAAATTACAGATGTTGAAAAAAGTAAAAATCTAAATTAAGTATTATGCATGGCACACACATCTATCGTCTACACATATTTGTTCTAGTTCACCATGACTGCTGTTACTGGAAAGTGTTACATTTGTTTTTTAGGCTGGATAAGCGAGACTGTCATTTAGCGCTCCCGTACTACAAGATGTCTGGCCTATCTGTGACTGAGGTGATCCAGAGGAATGTGGCTATGTGCAGCAGCACTGTGTCTGACTATGGCAGTGGTTTCCTCTTCTTCCTCAAGCACTCTCTCTATGAGGAGACCATGGAAGAGCTCAGTGAAGTAAGAGAACGTTTGAGTCTTTCATTCTGTTATTTTTTTACTATTAAACAATATTCCTTATTACATGTGGAAAAAATTAGGAAGAGACTGCAGTATATGGTAGAAATCTTTGTATACATCAAATATGCAGTTTCAGATTAGAAATGAAGTAGTATAGCTACTTATGATAGCATATCATACTTCTGCTGTACTTCTAGGCATCTAGCAAAGATAGTTATTTTAACAATAATAAAGGTTAAAGGTCTGCTGACAGTTGGACTGTAACAGTACACAAATTTCACCGTATGTATGTATAGTCATTTTTGCACCACAGTACGATATAGATATATTTTTGATACTTAGGAATTCTCTTCCATTTAAATATACATGCAGTTGTAAATAGTTTTGGGTGCACAGGGGAGTTTGGAATACATTCCATTTTTTCAGTATGTCTGAAGCAAAAAATAGAACTGAATTCAATTCCCAGCCCTCTATGTGTTTCCCTATGCGTATCAAAACATCCCTACTGATAATAGATAAATAATATGTTACAGGATGTTAGAAATGCATGTACTTCATCTATCTCACTCCTCTCCTTAGGAGACGGCTAACACAGTGCTGGATATCTTCAGTAAAGCAGAGGCTGGTCAGCTGCCCCATGTGGTGAGTAGCTCGTTCATGATGAAGGCCAGCCCTGCCTGTGTGCTGGCTCACCTGGAGCAGCTGGAGGCCTCTGGGGCCCCGTCTGTCACTCTGACTCTGTGCAAGGCTGCCCACGCCCTCCGCTTAGGTGACGTGCAGCTCTACCAACAGCAAATGGACCGCCATGCTGAGGTATGTAAAGCGTTTTCATCTGTTCATTTATCTGCTTATTTGTTTATTCAGACATTCATTTCTCCACTTTCACATTCATTTATTTGCTACAAGAAGGACTTTTATGAAAACATCCATGTAGTCACAGTATTGACTGGGTACAGTGTTAGCAATATGTTCTGCTTTTGTCTTTCTCCGTGTCAAATCAATTCACCAGTCCCTTTCTCTTGCAAATGGGAAGTAACTATCATGTGGTTCTTTAACCCTATCTTACCTAATGTGTTGACGGCCATGCATTTGTATCAGCATATAGAATTGGAGCTTTCTGTGTGTGCTACCCTGTCACTGTATATGGTGCATGATGCTATCTTTATTGTTGGGTGCACTGTGATAGTTGCTAAGGCTAAACCTGTCACAATCAATGAAATTTTAGCCTACAGTTAATTTGCATATAAATACTAGCAATCAACTTTTTAAATATCTTTTCTTGATCATTGTATGCAGCTATTAACGTACAAGCTTAAAGCGGCCACAAAAAATGTAACTGTCTTGCTTCTTATCTTTGCTTAGTAGCTAACACTGGTTGTCTTTTCAGAATAATACACTACACTGTTACGCACAAACTCACACTTACATAAATGTCTGCCATTACACAGAATCATGTTTAGAGTTAAAAAAAAAGCTGTTTGCTTTATAGAAATGGTAGTTTGTGACATGAGAAAAAAAATCTGCACAATATTGTTTTTGTTACATAAAAATAAATGCAACTGCAGCAGAAACTAGCTGATTTTTTGCCTTGGCCTGAAAGTGTTTAATAAAATGAGGGGACTTCTCAGTGTGTTTTTGTCATGTTGGTCAGATGTTGCAGGTGTACGGCTTCATAGATGAGCCAAAGTTGCTTTTGCATGGCAGAGAGAAGGCAGTGGTACCCACTCAGCTGGCACAGCACCTGCATGACACCCAGGATGGCCTGCTGGTGGCTGCAGTAGTGGCGCTACATGAGAATAGCAAGGTCAAGCTGGAAGAAGCCGACCTCTTCTTCCAGGTATACACTCTGACTGGCACGGAGGAACATTTTTATAAAAACCTGTATTTTAAAACATTTAACATTTATGTAGTCTTGTTCTTATATGTCATCACTCTTTCTAACTCTCCTTATCAGGAGTTATGTAAAGATAGTGTGGAGACTCAGAGCAGTCCTCAGCTGCTGGTGGATTTCTGGGAGGCTTTACTGGTAGCCTCATCTCAGGAAGCAATCATCCATGAGCTCCTTTTCCGTCTCACTTCCGTCTACATCGACCGCATCACACGCAGAGACTGCTCTGGCATTAAAGCTCTCAAAACTGCAGAGGACCTGGTGAGTTCAGTTCATGTCTCCAGTCCAACAGATGTCGAATGTAATTATATTTTATTAAATAAATATGAAAGCAGAGTAAGAGGTTGCAGGTGGAGAATAATCTGAAAAGGTAGGATTACATGTAAATCAAGGCATAAGGTTCACCTGTTGAGCCTACAGCCCTCTCATTCACACTCAAGTTATAAGGAGCATTTTAACCCGACTACATTTTGAATGAGGCTCAGTAGAGGGCAGCCAATCAGAAGAGAGCTCATTCACATATATCAGTCTTAAAAGCACAGAAAAACAGCCTGTTTAATCCTAAGGGATAAAGAGTGGTTAACAAATGTTAATATAAAAATTAATTATGACTTTTTTTGTACATAAACCCACATAGAATTCATAAGTGGATGTCAGGCTAAAAAATAAAATACAAGAAAAATGTAGGATATGGGTCCTTAATTTTGAATAGAACAAACTATGCTGAATCTTGTGAGTTTTGCTCTACAGATTTAGCCTGGCTTTTCCTCATTAGCAAAACCATTACAGTTGCAGCAATTACAATTTTGTGTCACTTCTTTGTTTTCAGATTAACTCTTGCTCTCACTATGGACTGCTTTTTCCATGGGTGAGCATCCTGACTCCTACTCACTTCAACATCATCCACGATCACCAGGAGGACCTGCAGAAACTCCAGGTCCGTAACTACATTCGTCAGAGTTGATTTGTAGAATGCACTGCAGTTCATGTTGGGATAAAATCATCACATCTGCAAACATGGTTAACGTGCTTCCATTGTTCAATGTCAGATGTAGTTGAAAGCTGCAGGGATTCCTTAGGCAGTACCGTTAACTGCCCTTAGGACTAGTTGTAAGTTTATTATCGAAGCATGTTAAATGTGTACCCTTTTCTAAGTGTGTGTTGCTTGAAAAGCGACTGCTGGTTATCCATTTGCAGCTATTCCTAATAGGACTGTACCTCTAGCCTCATAGCTATGAATAATGCAGAGACAGATGGTGAAGCGGCCATTTAACCTACACAGTACATCAGCTCCAAAGCCTGGACAATGCACAGATTTTCTCTATGCTATGAATCTCTCTTGTTGCAGTCTCTACTGTGTGGCCCCACTCTGGACGTGTCCTCCATTCTGCCTCTACTAGAGCAGCTGCCAGACACAGATAATGCTGGCCTGAGTGTGCATGTGCTCTGTGCAACCAAGCTGGGCCAGCATGAGAGCTCCATTGAGCGGCTGCTGGACCGCTGTCCACAGGCCATCATTCCCTATGCCAATCATGAGCTGCAAAATGACAAATTGGTAAATTACCACAATGTTCAGTCACTGTTCTTTCTTGACAGACAGCAACACAGAACTACAAACAAATTGCAGTAACATCCTGTGATGTATGTTTTGTAAAAAATATAACTAATTATATTAATTAAAACTAAGATCAGTATAAACTAGGTTATTTTTAGAAATGTTTAACACGACTTACAGTATGATCTTTGTTCTTATTCTGTGCTGTTGCTCTGTGCAGGCACTGTGGTGGCAAAAACTGTTTCCTGAGCTTTGTGAGAGGACACGAGTCTCATCAGGAGAGAACAGTATTTTGCTCGCTGCTCTGAAAGGTAGTTTTTTGTTTTTAGGATACTACACAATACTGTAACACAGAGAGTTGGGCTCCCAAGTTGAGTGCTGGTAAAACTGAGCAAAGATGCACTCTGGCGTGGAATAAATCTAAGCAGTGCCAATCGGTAGCAGTTCAAAATGAAATTTCTGTTCTTGCTTTATCATAAACATGTTATTGATGTTAGCACTCTCCTCTGATCATGCTGAGATCGTATGACATGTTTGTTGACTATTCATTTTAATAACAGAGACTCTTGTGGTGGTGGCAATGGAACTGAACCCACTGGAGTTTTTGGACTTGCTGCCTAACGATGGGACTGCACACTTCTTTCTGCCTCATCTTCTGGAATGCAGCCAGAGAAATCTTCTTACTTGAGCTACCAACATTGTATACAAACTGCTAGACGATTAGTAAGTAAAAATAATGTACTAAAAAATATAGCACAAAAACACTAAAGGGTTTATTTACTAAAGCAAGTAAGTGTTCAGGAGAATGCATTTCAGCGTGGTCAGCATGGCCAAATCACCGGTTACTAGTTTTACACAAGCCTTTGTCAGTGCTGATGTTTTAGTAAAGTAAGCCTGATACATAACTTAACTGGATATCATATGCTGCTTTTATCAAGACAGATTTCAAATAATAAAAGGATTTACTGACTGTACATGGCATGATAGGTAATGTGCTGTTACATGGCATTCTAAGGGCTGCAGAGTGGCGCAGCTCACTAAAAGACTCACAAGGGCAGGAATTGAAACCCAAAGCCCTCTGTGGCTGGGAGAGAATTCAGCGGGCCCTGCTGACCTTTGGGTGGAAAGATGACTTGGTTAACATCTGTTGTCCATCTGCAGCGGTGCTGCCAATCTGTTAGGTGACATGTACAGAACTGGGCAGTCAGCTTTCTTCTCCAAGTGTATGCAACTGCCCTGTGATGAGCAGCAGTTTTTAAAAGATGCATTGCCTGGGTGTAAAGGAAACATCTACTTGCCTCCTTTTGTTTAGTATCATACGACGGGGGAAATGCAGACAGTGGGGGTAATTCTCTGTCAGTAATATTAGGGAGAAAATTGGGAAAAAATAGAGCCACAGAAGAAAAACATAACTGGATGTTTTTATGTAAATATGTTTTAGCCTGATGTGGATTGCTGAGGTTCAGTGGTTCTCAGTCACTGCTTGTTTTTGTGTTTTACCTGCCTTGACACACCACATTTGTCTAATTACTTGAACTGTTCAGTTAGAATAATCACCACAGTACGGGACAGTGCGTGTGGACTGGGATCTGCTGTTCTGGTGTTTCAGAAAGTTTACATAATGGAGACTTTCCCCTGTGTTTTGTTTTCTTATCAGGCAATAGGTAAAACTGACAGAATGCCATTTTGTAGACTAACCAGTATATTCTTCTGGTACTGGATTGGATGAGACAATATGAGAGAGCGAATGGGCCAAAGCATGATACACTGTCCAAAAGTATCCAGATGCCTCTTCTAATTAGTGAAATTGCCTACTTCAGGATGTGCTGTTTGCTGACACAGGTGTTCAACTGCACGTACAGCTCATATACTCTCCCCAGAAAAGCACTGCAATAGAATTGGGCTGGGGGGCAGCTGTACTTGAGCCTAAGGTCACCTTGCACAATGCCAAACATCAGCTAGAGGGGTATAAGTCTCCCCAGATATGGCCTATGGAACAGTGGAACTATGTTCTCTGGAGTAATGGAGTCCCTTTGGGATGAATTTGTGATCCAGAACTAATCATCCAACATCAGTACCTGACCTCATTAATGCTCTTGGGAATGAATGCAATCCAATCCTCACAGCAGTGTGTTCCATTATTTAGTGTAAAGCCTTTCCAGGGGCAAAATCATTATTAATACGTTTGATTTCAGAAGAAGTGTTGGATGAACAGGGCTCTACAAACTTTTGGACATATAGCATGTGATGTGTGACATATGCCTTTCTATGCTATACTACTGTAAGCTATTTTTAGTCATCTCATAATACATGAATGTGAAAGAAAGCAGTTTGCACTAATACTACTTATCTATTCATCATCTCTCATGTACTGATATTTAAAATGCTTTCCAGTATATTAAGCCATGTTTGGTTTGTTTTCTTCTTCTTTCTTATTTCATTTGTATTGTTTGTTATTAAATGGAATTAAATTATACAAAAATGCTATAATGTGTATCAGATTTATCACAGTTTTGTCATTTTTCTATTTATAGTTTAGTCTGTATAAATCAGTCCTTGTGTTCAACGTTTCTGAATTAACGTTTCTAAGTCAGAAATTTAGCTCTAGCATGTTAAATACCAATGTCATGCTTCTGTTTCTGGCCTTCCCCTTTTCTCTTATTAATACACCTTTAAATATGAGTTACCAACTACAAACACACACAGACACACACACTTTTAAGATGCTTATCCTTCTGGGTCATGAGGGGAGCCGGAGCCTTTCCCAGCGGTCATTGGGTGGTAGGCAGGAAACACACTGGACAGGTCGCCAGTCCATCACAGGTCAAACACACAGACACATACACCAATCAGGCATAACATTATGACCACCTCCTTGTTTCTGCGCTCATTGTCCATTTCATCAGCTCCACTTACTATATAGCTCTGTCTGATCCACTCGTACCTCCGCAACACACTAACACACCACCACCATGTCAGTGTTACTGCAGTGCTGAGAATGATCCACCACCCAAATAGCACCTGCTCTGTGAGGGTCCATGGGGGTCCTGACCACTGAAGAACAGGGTAAAAGGGGGCTAACAAAGTATGCAGAGAAACAGATGGACTACTGTCTGTAATTGTAGAATGACAAAGTGCACCTATATAGTAAGTGAAGCTGATAAAATGGACAATGAGCATAGAAACAAGGATTTGGTCATAATGTTATGCCTGCTTGGTGTACATTCACACACGTCTAATCGTGTCCAGTCGGCCTGACTGCATGTCTTTGGACAGTGGACAGATTACAGTGGCAATACACATTACAAATGTATGTAAAATTAGCAGGTCTTTATTCATTATGTGCAAATTGTATTCATAGACATAGCAGGCAATTATAAACATCCTGTCTCATACATTAACCAGAATTTCTTTAGCTCTTTCCGAACAAGCCAAGGAAGCCCTTCCTTTTTCCTGTAAATAAGACATATAAGTAGCATTAGATTGAAATCCCATTATAATACTGCCTGGAAAACATTGTCATTATGCAACAGACCAAGTGTTGGGACTACATAGAGCAGGGCACAAACTTATACAAGGTAAAATGTAATATGGATATTTTGTGTAGTTAAACAGATTCAGGTAAAACATGATTTTGGTCACTTTCTCTTATTTCCTTACCAACATCCTCTGCAAGTTTTGACAACAATCAGATCTCAAGATTACTGTGTCACAGAATTCAGATCTACCTTATTTTAATCAGCCTTTTTCGTGGCTGTAATATAGAATCAATATAGTACATATTCTTTCATATACATTCAAAACTGTTTTTTAACATAGGGTGTAGGGTTTAATAAAATTGTAAATAAAATATATTTAATTTTATTATGCTGATATTTGCTCTACTTTGTGGTGAAAAATAAAATTGCAATCTTTTTTTTCACTAATCATAAATATTTTGATGAATGTACCTTTATGTATTTAGGTAGGAAAACTTCTCTGTTTCAGACAACAAAGAACTATTGAACTAATTGTGTTTCATGTGTTTCAAGAAGCCCCTCTGTTTTTACACATAGTTAGTTGCAACATTTGCACTCCTACCACTTTTGGCTGAATTGTTCACTAACAGTACGTGCTGGAGACCTTGTGGTGTTTCCAACACTGAAGCTTTTTTGTTTTTATTTGTAGCAGAGATGTATTGGAAAGCTTGTATAAAAAAATTATGCTTGTTATGTTTTGCCCTGCTCTCCCTAAACAAATTGTATATATGAACAGTTTTTAAACCTCCAAAATTTGAGCATGTGGGTGCCAAATGTTTTGTTTTTACCATTCTGCTCAGTCATACTCACCTTCTTTGTCCAGCACTGTATACATGGCCTCCATGCCCGACAGCACATGGTCATAGACGTGGCAATGCAGGAGCCAGATGCCCGGGTACTGAGGTCGCATAACGACTGTCTGGAATGTGCCCGGGAATAGATCAAATACATCTGCACGGTGGACGCCACTTTGCTAGAGTTAGACAGGGAGACAGATCGATATAGAGGGTGTGAATACACCTTGGTTATTGCTTTGTGTGTATATGTGTGTGCATGCATTGTGAGTGTGTGTGATTTCTGTTTATCCACACCCAGCTATGAGATCACTATTATTACTATATTAGCCAGAAGAGGATTATTACTGAAGATGTATGTTAACAGCTAATGAACAGTGTATGTGTTGTATTAGAATACTTTTATTTTACCTTGTAGTCAAAGCTGTGTCCATGGAAATGTGCTGTATGTAGGTCTATTTCACGTCCCATTCCCATCAGATACCAGTAAACCTTATCTCCCACCTGCATGTTCAGCCCAGGAAGGTTTCCATAGAGCAGGCCATTTATTCCTGTAATGCATAAGCAGATGGTGGTCATCATTTTACCACCATCATTACTGTTGTTTTTATAACTAGCTACACTGTGTCCCTGGTAATTGGCATAAACAAACTTTTTTTTTCTAAACCGCTTATCCTTCTGGGTCGCAGGGGGAGCTGGAGCCTATCCCAGCAGTCATTAGGCAAGAAACACACTAAACAGGTCGCCAATACATCGCAGGGCAGATAGACATATACACTCACATCTAGGGGCAATTTACCATGTCCAATTGGCCTAACTGCACATCTTTGGACTGTGGAAGGAAACGGAGGAAACCCACACAGACATGGGGAAAACATGCAAAATCCACACAGAAAGGACCCTAGGTTGTACAGCTGGGAATCGAACCCAGGCTCTTTTTGCTGTGAAGCAACAGCACTACCCACTGTGCCACCGTGCTGCCCGTAAATAAACAAGCAAATAAATATCCAATGCTAACCCATTTCTTCTCCAAAAAAGAATGAGATCACCAGGGGGTGGATGGAAAATAGACAGTATAATTAGTTTGTGATGAAAACAGAACAACAATATAATAATAATCAAAAAACATAATCATAACAATTGAAAATTTGTTCTCTACTCACCATGCATTTTATTGCTTTCAATAAAGTCCGCGTCCTCTTTTAAGTTGCTGGGAGGGTTTTTAACATGTGTTTTGATATTGTCATCCAGGTACCAGGACTCATTTTCATCAAACACCATAAACAGCAACGCAAACTCCTCAATCTCTTTCTTTAGCCCCAACTTCCTCAGCAGGCTCTTCCGACAGATGACCAGTGGACCGATCAATCCACTGTACAAATCCTGAAATAAAAAGACACACATTGATTCTAAATATTATTGTACAAAGGTCTGCATTAGCCTTATTTTAGTTCAAAGTAATTATTAAATTGTTCCCTTGTAGGTGGTCCTATGGGCCCGTATTGTGTTATTACCCTGCCAAATGGATCTAGTTTACGTTGCGCTTTCTGAAATCAAAGGGTTATATATCCTACCTTGTTAGCATCTACTGTTGAATAGTAGGCTCCAACACTGCATTCCTCCTGTTCTTCTGTTGGTCCAGCAGTCTTGGGAATGTACCAGGTGTATGTTTGAGTTTGTCCTTTAGAAAACAATACACATATTTATATTAAGCTTTTAGCTTTTGTTCTGTAACTTTTTTCATCTCTCATTTATATCTAAAAATGCATCAGTCAGATGTTACGCAACTCTGAAACCCTGCAGGAAAGCACCAGAAGCAGAATTCACTTTAAAAGAAAAACTGCAGAAGAACCTACTGATACCTGGGGGTGTTGGGATGACTTGAGGAATCTCTGTTTTTATTCCATGTGCATGTATAGAGTATGGCCTCTTAGCCATGTTTTTAAACACTATCTTTACTTTCTCTCCCACATTTCCATGGATCATGGGCCCTGAGAAGTCAAATTAATTGAGAAAATAAATATACTTTCTCCACATTATAATGTAGACATTCTTAGATATTGTATTGTTAGATATTTACCCATAATTCCTAAGTGTTCCATATCAGCAGGCCTTTCTTTTGGCTTGGTGAAGGTGTCGTCAGTGTACTCCCTGTACAAGACCTTCTTGTACTTGGAGCCAATAAATTTGCCCTCCTTTTTAAGAAATGGGTTGCCTGGACTGCAGACAATGAACAGTAGTTTTTCACTCGTATGTTAATGATTCTATTACATATGCTTAATGTGCTAGAAATACTCTGGACAGAATTTTCGAGGATAGCTGTGAGCTTCTCCTTAAGGCACTTAGTACTGCAGCCAGCAGCAATATTATAAGGCCACAGCTACTACAACATACAATTGTGGTCACTAATCTCCCCCCTAGAGATCTACCTTCCTGTGGAATTCACTGTCCAGCCCATATCTAACACACCTGATCCAGGTGGACAGGATAGGTGATTTGGACAAAATGTGTTCAATTACAGTTGCAAGCGAACTCTTCAGAAAGGTAGATCTCCAGGAGGTGGGCTGGTGACCTTTGACACACATCATCTGAGAGCAAGTAGTCATAGCCATGTAGCTATACAGCCATGGTTATGTTTTAGCATTTATGTTTATGTTTTAGCACTTTTGTCTTTAGCACTAACCCAGCACTAAACTTAACCCCTACCACATTTTAAAGCAGGATGAATGAATAGAAATATCCTCTGAAACCAGCAAAACACTCTGCAACTTTACCTATCTTTAAGGCCATGAAACATCTTCTCTTCCCAGGTGCGAGTGGGAGAGTAGTCCCAGTCCATCTCTACAGCAGCAATGTAATATTTCTTCTGGTGCAGCATCATCTCTGACTGCCTGCTCCAGATACTGCACTTCTCCACCGTGTAGTTTGCACTCATTCCTGCATGGCTGTCATCAGCAGTCTTGCATGTTATTTGAAACTGTCCTGTAGTGACCAGACAGGCCAAGAGAAGAAAAACATATTTGAGTGAAGAGCAGAAAATCATATTTGAGTGAAGAGCAGAAAATAATGGAACAGGAGGAGTACCCATGCTGTCTGGTTCCATGATGACAGTGTGCGAGACGTGAGGGAACACGGTGATGGTGTCTTTACGGGTTCCCCTATAGAGGAACCTGTTTCC